CTTGATAGTTGTTGATGATTAAAGTAGGGAGAGAGAGAGAGAGAGAGAGAGAGAGTATTGTCCACACGACACAAATCCGGGTCATTTCGGGACTAACACATGGTTCAATTTTATTTCAATAATTCGCTTGCGCGTGTAGTCCATGTGTGTAGGCAGATATTCATAAACAATTTGATGAATTGGTTTAAAGTAGCTAAGTCTCTAACTCAATATCATCAAAAATCTTCGACCATTGAAAACACGAATTATTTGTCAATTCAAATCAACATTGGTCTGGTGATCTTACAGGGAAAATGGGCTTCTAATATCCAATATTCAAGACAAAATAAACATTTTACCATTGGTACACGAATCGTGTACCATAGTGCGTTTCAGCGTCATTTGCAAGAAGGGACTCAAAGAACAGGGCTAGACATATTCCACAAGTCATGTCAAATGGTGACACTATATTCTTATCTGTAGAGCATGCGCAATAAATACCATCGGTGTAGACTGGAAAAACCAGACGCTAAAGATTGCGATTCCCATGAGACTTTTGGCGTATTTCGCCGAACATAACTGATTAGAAATTACAGTAAAAACAGAAACGATTGAATGTAAATCAGTTTAAATACATTCATATTACATTATTATATGCGTTGCGACCCATTTTTGTCAATTTCTAGGTCCCAAATATTAGCGACTTAGCTCCTTTAACTTTAACTATGATTTTCAGTTAGTCATAAGTCTAAAGTGTCCAAAATGGGTTGATGGACTTTCGGCTCACTTTGCTAAATGTCAGTTTGGCGGCTATCTTTAAAAATGACCGCCGTTTTTTTTTATTTGTAAAAGTGCGAGTCGGGGAAGCCTTCATAACTCCACACAGTTTCACCTATGGATATGTAATATAATATAATTCTGCATCTGCTGGCATATGATATATGTTGTTTAATCAATACTATCAGTTTTAAAATAAAAGATTAATCTGAAAAAAGCAACATTTTCATGTCTGTTCATAAGTTTACTAACAAATCGTGTTCAGACCCATATAAGTCAAATTATCTATTTGGTCAACTAAAGTAATTTAATAGATATAAGAACATTGATCATAAAAAAATCTCTAATATGAGTGTTCCAAATCCAAGATGGCCACCAAATTTCCTAAAATGGCAAATTTGTCAGATAATAGTCATTTCATTGTTTGATATGACATGTACTATCCAATTGAAAGGGTGCTCAGTGTTGCTGCAATATGTTCGAAAATAGATAATGTAAAATGAATAATTTGAATATTCCATTCAAATTACTCTATTGCGAGTGAAGATATTAGCCTTTGAAGGTTTGACAAGGCGTGTGCAATAATTTCAACCACCGTACTGGTTGTTCGAAGCTAAGTCTCGCTCCTCCATTTTTAGATTAAATCATAATATGGCTGAACCGTCCTAATCTATTTAATATCGGAGAAATCCGAAGCCATCAAGAGTTGGTTATGGCCTGGATCAGTTAATTAATGTCTAATTAATAATTTAGAAAACATTTCAGGCCCAAAGAAAGACCTGCAATAAACATATTTAGCTCTTGCATAGTGTATGTTTAATTTAAACAAAAAGTTTGGAAAATCCAAATAGCGGCCAGAATTTCCGTAAAATGAATGATTTGTTTTAGACAATTGTCAATTTTCTGTATTATATAGCTTATAATATCTCTTTTTATAAGGTTTTCAGAGTCACTGAACTTGAATAAAAACTCAAAAATGAATGCTGAAAATGATTTTAATGATAATGCTAAAAATGACACATCTTATCCGACCCTCCACCCCACCCCATAAACAATACAATGGGGCATATGGAATTGATTATACTGGATCTCACAGATCACAAGACATTTCGCCAAAATAGTGAGGCATTTTAATTTAATCTCCTATGCCTTTGCACCATTTTTAGCCGTATTGAGAATTATTTATGATATACCCAGTTGTTAAGAATTTAGATTCTCTTATTCGTTCAGAAATGGTAATGTGGTCCGTTTTTACATTAAAGACTCTATGTCCGGCAACTCTTGTCGTAAAGTCTAGTAGGAATGCAGCCAAATTTTTTTAGCTTGCTTAGAAACACAGTTCCGCTACAAGGTCCTCCCTACTAAACAAACTATACATTTTTTGGAAAGCGTATAACACAATCCAAGCAAATTGTTTTAAGGTCAGATGAAAATTGTGATAATTGTCAAGTAAATGCTATATTTATACTGACAATTACACATATGATAGGACAGGCTTATCTTTGCTCCGTGAGGTGAACAACATTGTTCTCTCCAACCAGGCCCGAAATTTCTTTTGAAAAAATTGACTGTAAATGGTGCTTTCTAGAGTATATCCTGGTGTTTTTAGCTTATGCATATATCTTAAGAATTCATCAAAAACGCCGTTAATTCATGACTACGCAAGAACATTAACTAGTTTAGGAATCCCTAGTGTCCATCCCTAAAAAGGGAGGCGAAAGGTATGATGTTAAAACGTGTTTAAAATTCCTGCATTACTTGAATACTTTAATTATCAGTAAAAATACGCCATATACGCCGTGCGGAACAAACCTTTCCGTTTCATCGAAAATTCCAATAAATAATTCATTTTTAGAGATCAATTTTAAATTCAGTGTCTACGAAAATCCTATATATTATATATCACAACCCTTACCTTACGTGATACTCACTCATCCTGACTAGAAATTCGTTTTTCGTTAAATTTTGGCGGCCATTTTAGAAATCAGACAGAACCCCAGCCAAACATGGCGTCACAAAAGTGACATAATCTCAAAATGGTCTTCAGTGACAAATTTTGACACAGAAACAACCCGTCCCCAAATATCGTTTCGATTGTGGCACATTAGCTAAACGTTCACTAAGTTTGTGCCCTGCCTCGCCGATGTTCAACATTTTAAATTTGACAGTCTACTTCAGAATTTTGTTGAGTTTGCGACAACCGCAGCTGTACAGGGAGCACCACTGGACGTGTTTATTTATGCCAAATGAATAACTTAAGAAGACCACACACATAATTTGGCTAAAATTACTCAGAACATCGTTTGGTAGTAAACTTATAAAATAAATCATGAAAACGTTGCTTTTTCCAGAATAATCTGTTGATTTGGAAAATATTATATGATTCATTCAACAACAAGTATCATATAGCAGCAGATGTAGCATTTTCTTGCGAACATTGTGAGCCATATTCCATATCTATAGGTCAATCTGTTCAGGAGTTATGAAGGTTTTCCTGATGCGCTCAATTTTAATGAAATAACGGCGGCCATTTTAAAGATGACCGCCAAAATGGAATTTAGCAAAGTGACCCGGAAGTCCATCAACCAAACTGAAAATCATGGTTGAATTTATTCATCAAATTGGTAATGATGCTCCAAAATCCGACGTCTGTCACGTGGACTAGTAGTGGTCTTCAGCAGTGGGAGGAAACCGGAGAACCCAGAGAAATCCCACGAGGTTGGACAGGTGACCCGACTCCTTGTCACATACAACCGGGGAATCGAAACCACGCCAGTTGACTCAATGACAGACCTTATTATACAGCGCGTACGTGCTAACCATTCGGTCATCCAACCCCTCTTAAAGTCTGGAGTCTTGACACTTAAGAGAAAGGGGGCTTGAGCCAAAGTATCGACACATTTGATCAACTCTCATATTTTCGGCAATATTTACATTTGAAAGGTACTGTCAAGAACAATTAACGGAGAGAGAGAGAGAAATGGGGTTTAACGTCCACTCGACACAAACTAGGTCATTTCGGGACTAACACATGGTTCAATTTTATTTCAATAATTCGCTTGCGCGTAGGGGTCTTTAGCAGTGGGAGGAAACCGGAGGACCCGGAGAAAACCCACGAGGTTGGACAGGCGACCCTACTCCTTGTCACGTACAACCGGGGAATCGAAACCCCGCCAGTTAACTCAATGACAGACCGTATGATACAGCGCGCGCGTGCTAACCATTCGGCCATCCAACCCCCACAAATAACAGAAAACTCTTCAGTGGAGGGCCCGGTTTAGTCCTATATATCGACCTAATATATAAGGTTATCTGTTTGTCGTCACCTTTACAAATCCTGGCCTTATGTCGTAGGCAAATAAACCAAGGCCACACAAGTAGAGCAAAACAGTAAACCCGATAGCTATAATATTGGGGCTTAGAAGAATAAGTAATGGCAAATATACAATAAGAATCGTGAATGAATATTCAGACAGTGTGTTCCGGAAACACTTGGAGGCGCTACGAACACGACACTAGCGGTCAAATTGAACATTTATTGGGGGGTTTATTGTTTTACTCTCGAACATTTTGAAGTCTTGCAAATTGCCGTTCCCTAGATAAATGAAACTAAATGGGGTTTAACACTTGGATAATGAAATGAAATGGGATTTAACGTCCTACTGTTCAGCTCCGACTGGGCTAATGAAGACGGGCATACGCCATGCAGTGTGCTATGAGGGAAATTCTTGCCCATGTGGCGGCACTATGGCCCACTCTTATATCGAATTCCAAATGCCAGGGATTTTTTTTACGTGTACGCCAATGTATACAGGGGACCTCTGTTTTTTCGTTCCATCCGAACTTGGATAATAAAGACGGACATGCCATGCAATGGGCTACGGTCTACTCTTATATCGAATTCCAACAGCCAAAGGCTCTTTTACGTACACGCCAAGTACATGGGGCCTCTATTTTTCATGCCATCCGAAGTAGAAATTTTGAAAAGAAAATAACTCAAAGCAACCAGTTGACAATTGGACCAGGTCATGCGCATTATAGACTTGAATTTAACGACTATCAGTATAGTGTATAGCGATGACCACTGCATGGATATAATTTATGAAGCAATGGTGACTCAACTGTTTGCCACAAACCTTTCAATAGTTTGGATATGGGCCCTGTATGGACTACACTATCGTACTTTATGTACACTGTGTAGATGATTGCATTGCATATCCAATAAGAGGGGACAAAGTCCTTATCTAGATAAACAAACAATGACATAGGCGTTTCTCCAACCATATAACTACACTTGTAACCCTAGGATTTTTGTTAGGAGATATTTCAACAACATAGATCGAGACACGAAGGTAGGAAGTTCATCTTTATTTTTATATAGTCTATTGAGTATTAACTGTTTTAAACTAGATTCTTAATACATTTCATCAAGAAATTATCTAAAGGTAAAAAAACACACTTTACATAAGACTTAGGGTGGATAGAATAAAGTCTTTACAAAAGTTGTTTTAAACAATATTATTTTATTTCGGGTGCGACGTGAGAATATACAGTTATCTGCATTCTGAGCCGGAGGAAGGGCATTTTTTTAGCAAAGTAGTTGGGCATTTTTTAGTATAGCAAGTAGTTATCGTCGATTGCAGAATAGTGTAGTCACGATTGTCATTGCTACCGTTGTTACGATAATAAACAAAGTCGCGATTAACCATTGTTAAATTTAATCATTAACCGCAAATTGTATTTCAATCTGTTGAAAAACTAGAGCATCTGATGTGATGAAGAGTTTAGTTAAATCTAATAAAATGCACCTTTAAGATTAACTTACGAATTGGTGTAGAACAGAATATGTGTATAAAATAAAGGGTTCAACCCGTAATATTTCTTGTTTGCGCTGTATTGAAATGCTACTATCTAAAAACATAAGTTTATACTATTTCACTGAAAATCGTTTTTTAATGAGTTTCTTTTTCAAATGATAATCAAATTTAATCCCTCATTGTGTTGTACAGTCTAGGATTTGATTAATAATAGTATTCATTAATTATTATAAAGGTTTTCTGTAGTAATCGTAATATACTTTTTATCAGTAACAGACATGTGGTAGGATGATACATTGATTAGAACGGTCGTTGGGTCAAGAATATTAAAGTTACAATTTCATATTTTCACACTTAAAATTCATTTACACCGGAAATAATAACACATTTACCTCCCAATTACCTCCCTTGTTTTCTATTCTCCACCATGGAGTAGTTATCTTCAAACGTTGGAATTTGAAGATGAAAATCATATTTTTGCCAATTTCTCAACTGGCAATAGTGAATTATACGATTAATAGGATTATTCTTTAACAAGGTAGGACTGTTTATAGATACCATCTATTTTAAGGCTTTATTTTAATAAATTGTAAAAATATGAAATTGCAACTTTAATTCTTTTTTGGCTGGGCGTGAATGGCGAATATTGGGTATTAAGGGGTAACTTACTCCAAAGGGAACATGTTTTAAAGCAATTTTAATCCAATACATTTAGGTTATCTAAGCCACAACTACAAAAAATCAAAATGGTGAAAGCAAAGAAATGGATATTAAAGAAGCAGTTTGAGGGTTTACCAAAAAAATCGGATTTTGAGCTGGTTGAAGAAGATTTATCACGTGATTTAAAAGATGGAGGTGAGAAAAAGTAGATGATTTTGTAATTTGTATAGAAAAGGAAAACCCCAGAAATCTACGGACAACAGATTAAACAAGTGACAGTTAGAAAACTTTAAATCTGCTTAAATTTGTGTGAACTCCTCACCCCAAATCTCGGGTAATGCATTCTTTATGTTTCTAGGTTACCATTTCGTAATTAGTTGCTAAGGTTACATAGCTGGCTCTCTCTCCTTTTGTATATTTGTATATTATATATTAGTTGTTTTAGCATTGATGAAACTTCTTAAATATAATCTGTCAGAGTCGTTTAGTAATTGGATAGAGCAATACACAAAAGCACATACTTATGGAAAAACAGCTACTTATTTATTTGGGCAACGTTTCGAAGAGTATTCTCTCAACGTTATCGAGCTAATACAGTAATTCTTAAATATACATGCAATGTCAGTCATATCATTTGATGCGACATACTACAAATAAAACCCTTGACTATTTTCGTCATTCGTTCGTCGTTCTATTCATCACATCACTAGTCGCTATATCGACCCAAAAAAAGGAGCAGATTTAAAAAGTTTCTAGTTTATACTACTAATTTGAAGGCATGTCTCCTAATAGACACCAGTGTGCTGATCGTAGAAATTGTGTGTAAATTTACGCGTTTTGTTTTAAATTCTACACAAGCTTGCGTTAATGCTATACAAAAAGAACACAAGCTTGTGTAGTTGATTTCGAATAGCAGGATTTTCTTGTACTGTGTATAATATATTTAATTTGTGTCTGTACATATGACTACCGAACGTTCTAGTTTCTTTGCTGGCCTTTATTCAGTCCAGCTCTTAAGAAATTTGACGGGATTATTTGGTAGCTATCCAATGGAATATATGTGTTATTATAAAGATACCACAGTGATATATACTACACGGAAAAATATCAACGAAATTATACTACACGGAAAAATATCAACGAAATTAGCATTACATTTCTTTGAATTTGTGTTGTAGTAGACCATTACTGCTGTATATAAATGACTGTAACATGGCAAGTGAATTTGATCGAAGTCAGTTCCCTTTGCCTCCTATATCTGTATCAAAGTTCAATGTTGTATCTAAGTGACGGGATTATGGTTTATAACGCGTACGTTTAAGATCATAAGATCTGCCATTGATTCAAATTGCGTAGTGTCTATTCCCCGCTGGTAGGTGATAGGGAGTTGGGTCTGCTATATGTCCAACCTCGTGTGTCCTCCGGTTTCCTCCCACCGCTAAAGGCGCCTACGCGCAGGGGTATTATTAAAATAAACATTTAAATCATAGTGTTGGTACGAAATAACCTAGTTCGTGTCAAGTGGGCGTTAACCTCTCTGGTGTGTCCCTCGGTTACCTCCCACTGCTAAAGGCCCCTACGCTACATTTTTTATATTATATATTTATCGGATATATAGGTTATCATGAATATATTATATATGGACTACACTTGTAAAGATTAAAGTCTTTTCACTTGTTTGCGTTTGGGCCACACATAAATAGACTGAAATGAAAATTACCATAAGACCATATGCGTATATCCACTGCTCTTCCATTAGCCTTATATAATGGAATGTGGTTTAAGTCTCGACAGTTCAATACTTCGGTTATATTGATATAAATAAATGGTATTGTTTATTTCTTATCAACTCACGTCCGGATTTCGAACCTGCTGCACTTAAGCCGGTAGTCCAGTGATCTGGCCACTCGAATACAACGGCCCTACAATAATATAGTCGTGTTCCAGTGATTTTGATGGATTTATTTTTAAATCTTAACACGTTACAATTTTTTACAAATATATTTTTTTCGAATTAAAGTATTTGCCTTTCAGTAATTATTTATAAAGAATTTATTTTCATTCTGCTTGATACTTGTATATATTTCCATAGAGTCATACTGTGTATACATGACCTTAGTATTTGTGGTCTATTTACCCAAGTAATATCATATTTCTATAGAGTCGTACAGTGTATACATGTCCTTAGTTTGTCGTGTACATGACTGTAGTATTTGTCGTCTATTTACTCAAGTAATATCATATTTCTATAGAGTCGCACAGTGTATGACATGACCTTAGTTTGTCGTCTATTTACCCAAGTAATTTCATATTTCTATAGAGTCGTACAGTGTATACATGACCTTAGTATTTGTCGTCTATTTACCTATGTAATATCATATGAAGACCTGATTATTTTGCTCTATATTATTGGATTGTTTAAAATGTAGACAGGATTTATGATATTATATACCTACCTCTTTCTAACTAGAGAAATTAATCACTGTATATGACTATCACATTTACTAAATATATCATATTATTATATAGAATACATACCAATCATCTTAGTATGAAATAAACGCAGTGCGATAAGGGTGTGTTTTAAATTTTCGATCGTAATAAAACTTATCTTTTAATAGGCTTGGTTCCCACTATCACGATTCGCGCTACGATTGAAATCGTGGAGTAATCGTGGTGATCCTATCAGGTTTATAATATATTGTGGTCAGTCGTGACAATCGTGTTGATCGTATCGAAATGTACCCGAACGTATCTACACGTCCCAGATCGTGGACTTAATAGGGACAAACCTATCGTAACACATCGCACGACAGTGGGAACCTAGCATAAACAACGTAAATGAAATGAAATAGGGTTTAACGTTTTGCGTCCTACTGTTCTGCACCGACCGGGAAAATGAAGCCGGACATGCGCCATACCGTGTGGTATGGCAGGAATTTCGATTTCCAACACTGTCGTGGTTTCGTTTACGCACACGCCACTGTGCACACGAGAGCTCGTTTTTTTCCTGAGCCACCGCGGGTCCCTAAACAACATAACACATCACATGTTTTATTGAAAAGGGTGTGGTATATTGACCCATGTGTCCAGTCACCTGATACTCAATTTTCATTTCAGGAGTTCACGCCAGTGACCAATACGCTTTATGGGAGATAAATTTATAGGGCTTGTATAATCTATGTTGCATCAATAAAAAATATACCCTTACAATTAATAGAAAAATATAAATACGATAGTAAATAATAAGATCATTTAAGTAATAGTATCATCGTGACAGAGGATGTGTGTCTTCATTATGCTGTGTATAAACTACTTAAAGAATGTGTAGGGGTAACCTTTTTAAACAAAAAGCAAACAAAAAACTCTTCCCTCCGCATGTTTGCTTTATCCAATTATGCGTTGCGGCGATGACGGGCCTCACCTTCAACTGTAAACATTAACCTTTAAACATCACCCCATGCTTCAATAAAAAATAATACCGTCGGTCCTAAAGGGAAGTTTCGACAGTAAGTACGTTTATGCCGGACGATGTCGCTTTGCCAATGAACAACGTCGAAGGATTATTGTACAAATATTATATAATTTCAAAAACAAAAGGATAAAATTCACTCTATTATTAATTCAAATTAACATTTAATCTTTCAAATGCGTCCCATAGATATTAGTCAGTGAAGTCAGTTTCAGAATATTTTTTTTGATATTGGTGTGATCGAAAACAAATCTGTGTGATCAAAAATATAAAGTATTTTTTGTTATAAGTTAGTGTTCAGGGTCTGTGGCATTACTCTGTCGACAAAAATATTTCAACACAACATTAATATTTTGTGTTCAAAGTACAGTAAAAGAAATTCGATCACACCAATGCGAGTATTTCACGTGATGCAAAAAGTTTCAAGATAGCTTAACAATTGAAGCCACGCCAACTTTCCCGGAAAGTCAGCGTGAAAGCCTAACACGGTAAAAAAAAAGACCTTTGAAAGCAATTATTATAATTGTGGGAATCTTGTTTAGTACTGATTTGTATTTCATTGAAGCCAAAAAAGCGAACTTTGCTTTTTGTTTTGTTTTACAGAGGTGCTTGTCGAGTCCGCCTACCTTAGTGTTGATCCTTACATGAGGTAATTATTTACGACCAATTAAAGACGTGGCATATCCACCATTTTATCAGTTATGTCAATTACACCCCCCACAGTGACCAATCAAATTAGCCCAAATCGATATCTCTTAGTTACTATTGCTGTAGAATGTATTTGTGGTTGATAAAAACAACTATTGCCAGTGCCAAGTGCTATAAAATAAATGGGAGAAACTCCCAATGGCAACGATTTTAAAGGCTTGATATTGAATATATTATTTATGTGATAGTGTGATATATTATTTAACCACATCTTAAGTGTTGTACACTTGTGGCCGGTGGCTCAATAACCAGGTCCGGGGTTCGATAGCGACGTTAGTCGAGAAACTTCCCCGGAATTTTCCAATGGGACAAAAAACCGAGGTCCCGTGTACGTGAAAGAACCCTTGACAATATGGAATTCGAAATGACAGTAGGCCGTAGCGCCGCTGTCCGGGCAAAATTTCTATTATATCACACTGGGTGTACACCCGTTTTCATTATCCCAGTTTGTGCAACAAAGTAGGACGTTAAACCCCATTATATTTTAAGTATTTTACATACAGTTGTAGGGGGGTGGATGGCTGAATGGTTAGCGTGTGCACGCTGTATCATAAAGTCTGTCATTGAGGCAACTGGCGTGGTTTTGAATCCTCGGTTGTACGTGACAAGGAGTAGGGTCGCCTGTCCAACCTCGTGGGTTTTCTCCGGGTCCTTCGGTTTCCTCCCACTGCTAAAGACCCCTACGCGCAAGCGAATTATTGAAATAAAATTAAACCATATGTTAGTCCCGAAATGACCTAGTTTGTGTCGAGTGGACGTTAAACTCCATTTCTCTCTCCCTCTCTCTCTCTCTCTCTCTCTCTCACATACAGTTGTGCATAGAGTTGGATATTAACTTTTTATTTAAAATGAATATTTTCAGAGTATATAAAAAGACAACAGGGGATGTAATGATCGGTTCTTCAGTGGGCAAGTAAGTACTTACCATATAGACATACTATTATTACTGTTAAATATAGATAATTTAACGGACGTCTATAGGAAGTAGGAAACGACAAATATTTACAGATAATTGTCTTAGGTCATTTGTTAGACTCACGGTACGCATTTTCATTTGTAAGTTTTATATACAAAAACAAAACAAACGCCGGTTAGCGACATGAAGTACTAATGGGGTGGAAAATACAACTGTAGACACCGATTGCATAAGATTACAAAAGAAATATCAACTTATAAATAACAGATTGACGGCCCGTGCTCTACCGGTTCTGTATGAGCCAGCTAGATCTATAACCCATTGGCTATATGTTCGAACCATGCTCTCTGTGTGGAATTGGAATAGTTTAGGGCACCCGTTCTGCTAAATCCGACACTGTACCTGGCTCTATGTTTAATGCAGTACAAACATTCTGCATGATGCACTGTTCTCTTAGCTCTAATATAATAATGGGATCGGGGTCAACAACACATCGGCATGCTTTGTGACCTAGCCTTCTAGAACCAGACAGAAAACATCTTCGCTTGTTTGTTTTGTTCGGTTTACACTTTAATCAATAAATTTGTATATTTCAGAGCATTAAAGAGTAACAAAAAAGTTATTTATCACCCAATAATACATTCTACAATAGATATCGCTTGTGTGATATATTTCATAATCTACTGCGATATCTCTCTTTACATGTATTTGATTGATCAGTTGAAAAGGAACTACTTTTTTTATTTTCAAAGAACAGTTCATTTCTTATTAAAAGTAACTGGGTTTTTTTTTTATTAAAAATGAACTATTGTTATTCAGTTGACCTTGCTGGAAACAATGGCTCAATATAAAGGACTTTGCAATGGTTGAATTGCTGTCAAAAAATGATGTATCACTACGCCGTAATGTTCAGTAAAAGTGAAATATACAGCAAAGAATTATATTTATCTATTTGTGCATGTAAGAAGGGATTGGGTGATAAATAAAATCTCCTACTCGTTTTTTTTGATATCAAAAAATATTAACTTGTGTTGATATTTTTTTGATATAAAAAAAGACTGGTAGGAGATTCTCTATATATTTCCGAGTATTAAATAAAATCCTACATTCCAGAGTATTAAAGAGTAACAATAAAGTTCTGTATTTCAAAGTATTAAAGAGTAACAATAAAATCATATATTTCAGAGTATTAAATAAAATTCTATATTCCAGAGTATTAAAGAGTAACTATAAAATTCTATATTTCAGAGTATTAAAAACCAACAATAAAAATTTTAAAGTTGGTGATAAGGTTGTTATTAATGCTGGGTGGAGGACTCATGCTATTGTTTCAGACAAAGTAAATCCGTATGAATTACGTCATTTGGCGCCCTTGGGAGACCTCCCTCTTTCAGCAGGACTTGGTGTTATGGGAATGCCGGGGTATGTAGTGTATTCAATATTTCATGCTCTACCATAGTGAATTTCTACATGTAGTAACTCATGTTGTTACATTTTCTTAAGCTCTCACTAAATTTAGACTAAATTATGTACATGTACTCAAAAGAAACATACTGTAATCAACGCAAAAGTTACTGAAATTGCTACTATTCGAGATCTCCACCACCAGGGTCGTAAAAAAAACGTTTTTGCTCAACTCAAATTTTACTCAAGTTTCGGTCATTTGTTATTTGTTATGAAATCTATCACGAACTCCCTTTTGAGTAAATTGAGTAAATATGTGATTTATTGTCCCCTGTCTGAAATATAATTATTACATTAAAACGCTATTATAATCATAAACTATATATATATATATATATACCTATCTTCAGAATGACGGCTTATTTTGGATTAGTTGATGTCTGTAAACCTAAAGTAGGAGAAACAGTTCTAGTTAATGGCGCTGCAGGGGCAGTAGGGAGTGTTGTTGGACAGCTGGCTAAAATAAAAGTATGTACCTTTAATTGTATTTACTACACAATGTACCTTTATTTGTATTTACTTCACAAATGTACTGTTTTGTTATCTTTTGTTGGCGAACATAGTCCAAATTGTCAAGTGTAGTCTTTATGATGCAAATGCCGCAATAATGTATTTTTCTTTAATTAAAGGGATGCACTGTGATAGGATTTGCTGGAACTAAAGAAAAGTGTGATTGGTTAAAGAGTTTAAATTTCGATCACGTGTTTAATTATAAAGAAACAGATGTAAAGACAGCTTTAGACAAGGCAGCACCTAAAGGAATCGATATTTACTTTGATAATGTAAGTTGTTAAAACCTTCCATAATTTCATGGCTGCATACCACAGCCTGGCCATTATCATCTAAACTTCTAGATCGGTGCGCAGTCAGAATTCTATGACGGGGCCTATTTTCGAAAACCAAGTTTTTTTTTATATACGCCCACATCGGATCTCACATTTATTGTCACTTGCGTCAGTCGTGAGTCGTCCGTCGGCGAGTCCAATTTAACACTCGGTCAGTCCGTTCAAATTTTGACTGTTACAGGCAAGTAGAGAGAGAGGGGGGGGGGTCTTTAGGAGTGGGAGGAAACTAGAGGACCCAGAGAAAACCCACGAGGTTGGACAGGCGACCCTACTCCTTGTCATATACAAGCGGGGAATCGAAACCACGCCATTTGACTTAATGACAGACCTTCTGACCCAACGCGCTCGAGTTCATCATTCGTGCACCCAACCCCACTAAAACTTGGTTGGAATGTTAAGAATAACATCAATGACATATATTATGGAGGATTAATTCGATGGCATATGTGGGAGTCTCCCCACCTCCGTTTACTTTCCAGCTCATGAAATCTTTGGAACATGATGCGAGAATTTCATATTTTCTAAGAAATTCAAAACATAATTATTTGTATGTCTTTTGCTCAGTAGGTTGTCAACTCACTATTATACGATCGTAGGTATCATTCGCACACTTAAAAATCATTCACCCCGGAAATAATAACACAATTACCTCCCTTGTTTTTCTATTGCCCCCCCATGGAATAGCTATCTTCAAACGTTTGAATTTGAAGTTGAAAATGATATTTTTGCCAATTTCTCAACTGGCAATAGTGAATTAGAGGATTAATAGGATTATTCTTTAACAAGGTAGAACTGTTTATAGATACTATGTATTTAAAGGCTTTATTTTAATACATTTTAAAAATATAAATGAAAAATATGAAATTATCGTTTTAAAGAGTTGGTGGGATTTGTTCAGTTTTCTATATGAGATAACTAACATAGCTACCGCATCATAAAGCATGCTCCTTTGAACAGTGAGCAGAATCATGATTTATTATTTCATTTTCAGGTTGGTGGAGATTTCACAGTGGATGCTTTGAATTATATGAACGTCTTCGGTAGAATTTTAGTTTGCGGTGCTATATCCACTTATCACGACGGTTCCAGAAAAATGGGTAAATAGTTAAATGACATCTGTTGATCAAACCGCAATAAAATACTAATTAATATATTATCATATGTTTTGCTATAGCCCCTTGTCCGTGGTGCACGACGGATGACCTGACAAGCACAGTGTCTCTAGTCATTTAGATGGGACACAAAATCGAGGCCCCGTGTACACATAAGTGTACACGCTAGAGACCCCTTAACGGTTGGGATCGAAGTAAGATATAGACCGTAACCGTAAAATTTCATTCATAGCACACTGTAATATGGCGTAAGCCCATCTTCATTAGCCCAGACGGTGCAGAAAAGTAGGACACCAAACCCCTTTTCATTTAATTTTATTTCGCTTTACTACCGACTGAACGATCGAAAGTTAAATCGTTGGCAAAGCTGTAATCAATAATTACTATCTCAGTGTATGAGGCCTTAAGCCCAGCTCACAACCCGTCGTACGAGCTACTACGGACAGTCTGTGGTGGACAATTCCGTCACCGTAGAAGATCACTGACTGACCGTAGAGACGTTTTATCCTACAATTTCATCATGTTTTTGTGGCTGGTCTGTGAGTTACCAAACTCTACGACCCGTGAGTGTTGTGAGCTAGGCTTTAGATAACCAAGTGGCAACGCATATTAAGTTTGAGGTTTTTGTTATTTCAGTGCCCGATCCTTTCATGACATTTCTCCAAAAGAAGTTAACAGTATATGGTTTTATTGTTACCGATGTTTTAAATAGATGGGGTGAAGCATTTCCAGAAATGTTACTATGGTTACAGCAGGTGCGTAGTTTACTATATTTACGTATTGTCTTATAAATGCCGTCGCACACGAGAAACAATTAGTTGAACATGCATTATGCAAGAGCTAAATCTGCCTATTGCAGGTCTTTCTTTAGGCCTGAAATGTTTTCTAAAGTATTAATTAGACATTAATTAACTGATCCAGGCCTTAATCAACTCTCGATGGCATCAGATTTCTCCGATATTAAATAGATTAGAATGGTTCAGCGATACTTTGATTTAATCAAATATGGAGGACCGAGACTTAGCTTCGATCAACCAGTACGGTGGTTGAAATTATTGCACACGTCTGTCAAACCTTCAAAGGCTAATATCTTCGCTTGCAATAGAGTAATTTGAATGAAATTTTCAAATTATTCATTTTACATCATCTACTTTCGAACTATTATAGCAAGAATGGCTAGTTCTTTATCTAAATCTTACATAGTGTATCTTTAACTGAAAGATTTATAAAAATATAATACTATAGTTAATATGCCATGTTTTCGATGGTGGAATATACACCTAATTTATTTGCAGTTAAAATTAAAATTTCACTGTTACCCCCACCCTAGTCTCGATCATCTCAGCCAATATTGTCACAACTATCATCACCCCATCTAATCAGTATTTTTTTAATTGTTGTTTTCATGCGATCCCAATGTCAGATATGACTGAAGGATGTATGATATTGTATACTCTGAGACAAGTAAAATAGAAGACCATCATACAAGAATATTATACGTGTGTAGTTAGAAACCCTTGCTCAATACAATTTATGTCGTTTAGTTGACACATTGCGCCTGTAGAAATAAAAGTTTTTATATTTTTTACATAACTTGATGGATTGAGTGTTATGATGAGACTGATTTTGAACTAATTGAAATAAGATTTTTATCTGGCTTGGATTTCTATAGTTTGCTGACGATCTTACTGTATTTTGTAAGATTTAGATAAAGAGCTGGCCGTTTTTGCTATAATAGTTACAAAATAGATATTGAAAAGGGAATATGTTCAAAATTTCAGTCAAATTACTTCATTCAAAGCGGAACATTGCCATTACTAACATTGTTACGATAATGAATTACGTCTCCATTGGCCATTTTTAAATTCAATTATTAACTAGCAACCGTGTTTAAATCCGTTGAAAATCAAAACCATCCGATAATCTAGAGAGTTGATTATGGGCTTAGTCTGTGAATAAATGTCTAATTATGATTGATGTAACACTAGCGGGTGACCCGGCGCAGCACGGGTTGTGCCCGGAACCGAAAGTAGTATAACATCGAAACCGGAAGTGGTAGCTCTTACATAATACATGTACTCCTTTAACAATTTTCTGTTTTCTTGAAAGTATAATTAGTATTAATGTAGTTGGCTAAAACTTTTATTGCCAAGGAAAGGGCACCACTTCACTTAAAGTCTCGATGCGTCATTTTAGCGCGACAGGAATCACTTGTAAAATAAAATTTGTCAAAGATGAATCTTTAATATTAAACATACATTATGCAAGAGCTAAATCTGATTATTGCAAGTCTTAATTTAGGCTTCAGCTGTTATAGACATTATAAATTAGATCTTTATTTAAACAACAAGCCCAAAATCAACTCTGTAGACCCACGGATGGCTCGGCTACAGCTCGGATTTAAATAGGATTTCACTACAGTAATTGATTAAATCAAATATGGGACAACCTGATGAAAATACGTCAGTTAGATCGAGGCTAAATGATAGAGTGTACTTAGCGAGGCCGCTGTAGAGCGTTTCCGTATGCCATTGAAAACTTTACTTGATAATCGAGATATTTAGGTGGAGTTAACGCCTGTCAATCAAACGATCGGTCAAGGTGAGGACGCATTTCGCTACCATTTCTAGTCAACGATAACTATGTTCAGAGTAAAGTAATTTGACTGAAATTTTCAATATATTCTTCTTTCATCATCTACTTTTGAACTGTTATAGCAAGAATGGCCAACTCTCTATAAAAAAACTCCCATAATGTATCTTTAATATCGGTCCAGTATTGGTTCAGGGCCCTGTTTCTCGAAATCTTAACTAAAGATAAAATCCAAATTTTAGTAGATTCTTCAATTTTGATTGGCTAAGCACTAAAATCAATCTAATGTTATCCAATCAAATCACTAAAATTTGGATTTTATCGTAGTATTTCGTGAAACGGGTCCCAGTTTCGTGCAGTATTTACACAGATATGTGGAATTTAAATGTCATCCATCTATGCTTATGCTGTTCGTTATGTTTGTTGTCGCGAAAATTTAATGATAGACCTAATTCTACTGCTAGCCGGGACATCATCTAGCAATGGTGTTTTGATTTTGTTTTCTTAATTAAATGCTAAAAACAACCTCAATATTAGCGTAGATTAAACCGTGAGAAATTCGATATTTTAGCGAAAACTACATATGAAGAATTTTTGCTTTAAAGGGTCAGGTCAATTTAAAACCAATCTCTTAAATATGTTGTTTTGTTAGATTCACTCACAATAGATAATCCTAATTTTGACGTTAAATTAATTAATAACTGACGTGAGCATGCGCAGTAGAAGGGAAGGGGTTGAACGACATGAAATATTTAAACAAAGCTGAGAAAATGTTTGTGAAAAAAGAAAATATCGCCCTAGGTAAAATTGAATCAATGTCAAACCGGTTATCGCCAGGATTAAAAAATGTTTCCCCGAGTATATTGTTGTAGCATTTGACGGAAATGGCGATCGACACCATGATCACTTTTGGACTGTATGTTGACAATTTAAAATGAAAAATAAAAGTGAGAACAGTAGGCGGGAGATAAAATAACATGGTACGAATCAGATTCTTACGGTGATAATTGGACAGAAAATAATGATATATCAGACAACTTCATCACTTGATATACACACCTGAAACACAGTATTATATTCTTCATCTGGTTTTCTATTTCTTCATTCCGTTTCCATAGAAACAGTAATTATTATTTTAATATCAGCACATTGGGCTATAGCAAATATTATTTGATTTGTATACATTTCAAGATTATTTTTTATTTTTTTTTTTTGGGGGGGGGGATAATAATTGACTAAATTACACTTTTCAGATCTTTTTTTTGTTTTGTGTGTTGTATTTCTGTGACGTTTTATAAAGCGGAAGATTAGATAAAGAGCTGACAGTGCTCTCTATAATAGTCAAAAAATAGATAATGTAAAGGGAGTATGCGGTAAATTTCAGTCAAATTACTTCACTCTGAGTCGAGAAGTCCTCATTTCAATAACACTGTAGTCTCGATTGTAACGATAATAAACAAATCTCGATTATCTATGGTTACGGTTAAAAATTCGAGCCATCAGATGGCATCGAAAGTTGACTATGGCCTTGTAATGTTAATAAGTGACTAATTAATAAGTTATATAACATTTAAGGCCTAAAGAAAGACCTGCAATAGGCAGATTTAGGTCTTGCATAATGTATGTTTAATGCGGCCCCTTTGATAAAATAATGAAATGGCATTTTGTCGCTTCTGTTGGCTATTTAAGTTATGAAAGTGCCGTGAACAAGTTTATTTACTTCTTCTTGATCACAGGGCGAATATGTTTTTTATTTTTATTTTCTTAATTATTTCTATTGATTTTATTAATATTTTTGTTTTACAGGGTAAATTGCAGTTTAGAGAGACAGTTACCGAAGGTTTTGAAAATATGCCGGAAGCTTTTCAATCTCTGTTTTCTGGTGGTAATACGGGGAAGGCAGTTGTCAAAGCTTGAGAAATCAAGACAGAGAATATATTTTATTTTTCATAAAATCAGATTTTTATTTGTTTTTGTTTATTGTCATTAGTCCTTTATTCACAGATTTTAAACACAATACATCTATATGTTTTATTATCAAGTATTAAATATATTATTTTAGCCGAAGTTAACTGACATATACAATTTCTTATGAACACTTTGTGTAAACACAAATTTATTAAAAATGTATTATGTAAGATTTAGATGAATAGCTGACAGTTCTCGATAGAATAATATATAGTTTAAAGATAGCCTAGATAAGTATGCCAGGATGATCTATTGGGTCAAAAGGAGTAGAACTATCCAAATTATGAATGGTTCCATTGCAAATCGCGCAATTATAATTTGAAAATCAGTATTTCTGTGCACGATTCTATAAAGAGGGAAGGTTTTTGACGTCCACTTGACACAATTTATATCATTTTGTGACTGACATATGGTTTGTATATCAACAATTCGCTTTCAAGTAGGGGTCTTTAGCAGTGGAAGGAGGACGGGGGTCCAGATAAAACACACGAAGTTGGGCAGGCGTACAAACTTGGGATTGGAAGCACACCACTTGAATCATTGAAAGACCTTATGATCTAAAACGCATGCGTTAGACCCCTCAACCCCCATAGATACCTTGGTATGACACAATCACTTGACTCTTGAAGATTAGAATCAAAATAGGGGTTTATGTGATCTCTTGAGAAAGATCAATCCATTGGACGTCAATAAAATTGTCAAATTAAACATGTAGCCAGATCGGCCGGGTTTGATTCCGGTGTTGACCGATATTTTCCAGTCTTATGTTCTATGCGTCAATGGAATAGGACAGAGGGTCTGGTAAAAAATGGCGTCTATTAGTTCAGATTGGACGAGAAAACCCGAGGTCCCGTGTACAAGTTAGCGTACGCATACAAGTTGAAAGAGTAGGTGGAAACCCCACTGCCCAGACTAAATTTCCGTCATAGCACACTACATGACGTATACCCGTCTTAATTAGTTCGGGGATCACATTGGCTAAGTGGGTAAGGCGCCTGACAAGGACAGCTGTCTAGTCATTCGGATGAGACGAAAAACCGAGGTCCCGTGTACACATTGGCGTGCACGTAAAAGATCCCTTGACAGTTGGAATTCGATATAAGAGTAGGCCGTAGGCAAAAATTTCCCTCATAGCACACTGTATGGCGTATGCCCGTCTTCATTAGCCCAGTTCGGAGCAAAACAGTAGGACGTTAATCCCCATTTCATTTCATTTCATTTCTTAATTAGTTCGGTTGGGGCATAACACAGCAGGACACTATTTCATCTCATTCCCTTTATCATATTCCCTTATCGAAAATAAAGAAAATAATGGTAAAAACATGAATGCATGAAGGAAAAGATCACAAATGTTCACGCTAAAAATATATTGCAAATTACAAAATATAAATTGTCGTGATTCAGATAATTATTCACAGGGTTTTTTGGGGTTTGTTTTAAAGAGATGAGTTATAAAATTTGATAATGGATTGTCGCTGTGAATAAAAGATGACGCAAGATTGGTATTCTTGGCCTCTAGAAGAAACAAATCATGCAAAGAAAGTAAAACATATAAAAGATTGGACAGATAAGAGACCACAGGCTATGCCGACATTTAAAAGTTAATAATAAAATCTTATATTCAATTCTAAAAACTATTGGTAGCTAGCGAACAAATTAAGGTCTTTGTAATATCAATTGATAGATATTTGCTTATTTGATAAGGAATTTTACAAAAATTGTCGATATGGTTTTCCATGGACAAGTTAGAAACCAATATTACACCGATGTTTCTTGCTGTCTCATGTACGAACAAGATATTTTGTCTTATCAAAGAGTTTCGGAAAGTTGTTACTCATACATGTCCCGAATACATGTTTCATTGTTGAATTTGGAGCGTTCAAAGCTCACATGGTTTAGGTTTGAAGGAAATGTATAATTGGGTGTCGTTAGCGTATAAGTGAAATAATAGTTCATGTTTTCTGACTAAATATCCGAGAGGTTTGGTATAAAGACTAAACAAAATTGGTCCCAGAATGGATCCTAGGGGGATTCCCGAAGCTACATTGTAGAAAGCTGGTGACACATTGATAAGATAATTGGTGCTTTATAAAGTGAAATAAATTTTAGGTGATTTATAGAAAAATAAATAAAATATTTCGTGATTTATAGAAAAATAAAATATTTCGTGATTTATAGAAAAATAAATAAAATATTTCGTGATTTATAGAAAAATAAAATATTTCCTGATTTATAGAAAAAAAAATATTTCGTGATTTATAGAAAAATAAAATATTTCGTGATTTATAGAAATAAAATATTTCGTGATTTATAGAAATAAAATATTTCGTGATTTATAGAAATAAAATATTTCGTGATTTATAGAGATAAAATATTTGGTGATTTATAGAGAAATAAAATATTTGGGGATCTATAGAGAAATAAATGGTGATTTATAGAGAAATAAAATATTTAGTGATTTATAGAGAAATAAAATATTTAGTGATTTATAGAAAAATAAATAAAATATTTAGTGATTTATAGAGTACCAAATAACAGCTTGTTCAAAACAATTGTAAAATAGCATATTTTTTTTATCAAAACTTGTAGACCTTAATTTAATGTTTCGAATGTTGTTATATAAATGGGAATTCTGTCCTCTAAGGTCTGTTGATTGCTTGCTTGAATTTTCCCCAAAACGTGTTCATTTCATGTGGATTATCGTTTGTATTAGGATATACAATATAAGTATGTGATTTAATCTGATACATGACAGTTGCTGGTATTTTATCACGTTTAATATTTTTATAAAGTAATATTAATAACACATCTCGCCCAGTATGCTTACTTTCCATGTCTGCCATATTCATTTCATAAAGACACCAGTAACTTTCAACAAATTCTGGACTCATTACAAGAACCGTTTTTCTGCTCGTCTTAACAGCAGTAACTATACCTTCAGCAATCGGTAAGGAAGGAAGAAAATCCCGGTTGTGGAGACAAAGTTTTAATCCAGCTTCTTCTTCAACTTTTAATCTCATTTGATCCACAAATAATCTGTCATCTTCAGCATAAGAAATAAAGGCATCAAATTCAAAGAACTCATCGTTTTGTGTATGAATCTGGTGGTAACTCCGTGTTCCGTAATATAAGTATCGCAGTTTCCATCGTAGTCTGTACACCAAACACCCAATAATTAAACAAATGATAATTATTGTTACACTGACACAATTAATGAAATCGGGAAGGTGGGACCTGCAGTTTATGCTAAATTCATTCATGATCATGTTCATGTGTTTTAAAGCCACCACTGTGCCGTTGGTATAGGCACATTTATAATCCAATTTGTTTCGGAAAGTAACATTTTGGACACTCCACAGCCAATTGAGAAATGGAACATGTTCACAAATACAAGATAACCGATTATTAGAAAGATCAACAGTTAATTTTCCAGATCGTCCACCGACTCCTTCAAGTTCATGTTGCATAGTTATATTGATAAATTGAATATAGTTGTTGGAAATATCGATGAAAGAAAGGTTCTGCATGTGTTTCAACTCAACATAGAAGATTCCTAATAAATTATAACTAAGATCCAAATATTGACAGTTGACCAGTCCTTGAAATATGTTTTTGGGTAATGAATATAAAGTATTAAAAGATATATCTATGTGAGTAAGCTTATTTAGATTTCTAAATATCAATCCGTTAATGTCTTTATAAAAACTTGGGTGTAGTCTATTGTGCGAAATATTCAACCTTTTCAAAGATGGAAAATTATTGAAAAATTGGTCATCAACGTTGTCACAAATATTATGAGAGAGATCTAAGACCTGTATATTGCCCACTCCAGTAACGTTACCCCGCCAGGTAAAAATGACATTAAACGACGCATAAAGTTCCCGAAGAGAACAATTACCTAATAAAAGTGATGACATTTGGTAGTTTATAGCTAAATAGTTTAATTTCAGTACGGCCAATTTCGGGGGCAGGTGGACATACTTCCTAATACTTTTATCATCAATCTCTTGTCTACATAATGAACATTCACAACTAATATTTGGATAATCTTTTGTAGGTAGTACCGGTATATGCCCCTCTCTTGCAAAATTACTCAGATCAATTTGGATTAAACTGGTTAAATTTTCCAGATCACTCCATAAATATTTCGATGTTGTAAATCTGTTATTTTTGGCGGATATATTTTTCAGTGTGGGCGGTATTTCTGAAACCACACCCCTTTCAAAAATCTCCAATCGGTTATCATCCAGGTGGATTTCTTCGATCTTCGTTTGTTTAAGATACTTTAACATTCGTTTAGTAATGCACATGCATATAGCATTGCTTGGGACAATGCGGTTCGCGTATAACACTCGTAAGGAAGAGTTCTGTAGCCCATAAAAAGATTTTCCAAGCATTTCGAATCCTAGATTAGTGTTGTTATTTAAAATCAAAACATCCAAATTTAAATGAGAAAAGCCATCTAAATCGATATTGTTTAAGTTACACGATGTTAGATTTAGTAAACTTAGGTTGAAGAACCTCACGAAGCTGTTATTAGGGATTGTGGTTAAATCGTTAAATGACAGGATAAGATTATTTGTGTTGTTGGCATGATTGGGTAAATCTGTTGGAATATTTTGTAAACCTCTATTGGTGCAGTTTGTTATCAAAACACCGGATTCTTCATAGCTATCACAAGGTACATGGGTTCTTCCAGTGACCGAAGAAACCATTAACACAATTAGAGCAATCTCCATCTATAAAGAAAAGTTGGATTTGGTATTAAAAACACTTTCACTTTCGAGCTTTTTTTTTTTTACTTTTTCTGATACATGAACAGACACACCAGAATGATGATCGTTCGGATGGGATAAAAAAAAAAACAATTGCGTCCTTGGCAGTTTGAATTCGATATAACAATAGGCCGTAGCGCCGCTGATTCTTGAAAATTTAGATATTTTTCGTCAACATATTTAAATTAATTGGACTTAATCAGCAAAATCGAATTTTACGTCAATAATAACCTGTCCATGTATTATTTCGCAGACTTTACTCATATCATCACCATCGGTGACTTTTAAAGTAGCTAAGTCTCTAATTCAACATCATTCAAAGTCTTCGACATTGAAAACATGAATTATTTTTCAATTTAAACCAACAATCATGTTGTGATCTTACCGGGCTTCTGATATCCAATATTTAAGACAAAATAAACATTTTACCATCGGTACACGAATCGTGTATCATAATGCGTTTCAGCGCCATTTGTAACAAGGGACTCGATGAGCGAGGCTAGACATATTCCACAAGTCATGTCAGACGATGATGCCATATTCTTATCTGGAGAGCATGCGCAATAAATACTATCGGTGTAGACTGGAATAACCAGACGCTAGAGATTGCCATTCGGTTGAGACTTCTGACGTATTTCGCCGAACATAAGTTTATATACATTCACATAACATTATTATATGCGTTGCGACAACCCATTTAGCTCCTTTAAATGCCATAGACTATGACACGCCAATATCTTATTTGTATCATAGTAGGCCTACTCACCATGGTTGATAGCTTCGGTCACCTCCAGTATGAGTCGGACTAAGTACAAGACACCTCGACAACTGTGGCTAGTTCAGCATACGATTAACAAGATTTCAGCTTTCGTTTCAGATGGATTCAATTGGTTTAACTAGACTAGCATTAGCCCTGCTCATTGCTTTAGCGCCGGTGGCCTCAATCCATTTTCTTAAGTCGTTACTATGAACTCGACGGACATTCTCGAAATAGTGCAAATTATTGTTATACTGGCGGATTTTATAATTTTCATTACTGAATGTTAATAAAGATATGTTTTCCTTATTGGCTTTATTAACAAAGATAAACTTTCCTTATTGGGTATTACCAAAGAAAACTAATTTATATTAATTAATGGGCGTTTAATGCTTTACCAGGAAATACTTGTTTAAAACATGTTTTATGGAAATATTAATAAACAGCATGTAAAATAAGCCTTATGGTGTTAGTGCATATTGAAAAATGCGACCATGTGATTCAATCTTTATATGAAGCCTATAAGGATTCCGCTAATTTACTCCACTCGGAATGACCAGGACAATTTGTTTAGCATTAGTAAAAAGTGTCCAACTCTAATACAAAATTGTAAAGACGTAACTGAGTAGTTGCATTACACCCGTAGACAGACGTTTACATACGTTCAGCGAATGCGTTCAATAACCATGGCATGACAAGCGATCAATTTATTTAGGGTGATACGTGAAATTACAACGCGATCAAATCGATAGGATTTATCATTTGATAACTAAATTGAACACATCTGCCTTGCAACAATTTCAATAGGCGTACACAAGGTTTTGGAGTCAAGGGCCTTGATTTCTGAACGGTAATCTGTCAGACCGTTGTGTGTCTGACTGGTCTCATTTCCTGCTTATTGTTGCTTATCAAAAAGGAAAACTTTGATGTTGACCTAATTTAATAAAGATCTACGATCCTTCAAAAATCGTACATTGCTCAACTGGTCAAATAAAATTTGGAAAATATCCGTTAAAAACCGTGGCACCTACTTTGATAACTTCACTTCCTTCAATAAGATGCTGTTGGTCCTGTTGTATATCCTGCACGTTTATTAATTCTGGATACCGTGTGTAGCTCATTGTATATATATAAGGGGGCACAATATAACATGAAACCTATAAAGTTATAGCACCTGTGTTCCTGAGAGTATGAGATTTTTTTTTTTTTTTTTTTTTTATAAACAATATTTTTATTCAGGATGTCTGAATGGGATTGGGGAGCAGGCTTAGCCTATGTAAAACCCCTCTCCCTATGCGGGGTATGAGAATGACATTATGGAGCTAAGCGTCTAACTTAGTAAAATTCGAAATTAAAACACGGTCAATTTTAATCAATTGTTATCTTGCCATGAACATATGGTAACTAATATCCAATAAAGAGAGGTGTTTAAAGCGGTAATTGCAAATTTTTAAGTTATATTTTTAAAATTTATTAAAATAAAGCCTGAAAATAGATGGTATCCATAAACAGTCCTACCTTGTTAAAGAATAATCCTATTAATCCTATAATTCACTATTGCCAGCTGAGAAATTGGCAAAAATATCATTTTCCTCTTCATTTTCAAACGTTTGCAAAAAGCTACTCCATGGTGGAGAGAGAAAGAGAGAGAGAGAGAAATGGGATTTAACGTCCACTCGACACAAACTAGGTCATTTCGGGACTAACATATGGTTCAATTTTATTTCAATAATTCGCTTGCGCGTAGGGGTCTTTAGCAGTGGGAGGAAACCGGAGGACCCGTAGAAAACCCACGAGGTTGGACAGGCAACCCTACGTACAACCGGGGATTCGAAACCACGCCAGTCGACTCAATGACAGACTTTATGGTACAGCGCGCGCACGCTAACCATTCGGCCATCCACCCCCCCCCCTCCATGGTGGAGAATAGAAAACAAGGGAGGTAATTGTGCTATTATTTCCTGTGTAAATGAGTTTTAAGTGTGAGAATGACACCTATGATCGTATAATTGTGAGTTGACAACCTATTGAGCAAAACACATAGAAATAATTACGTTTTGACTTTCTTAGAAAATTTGAAATTCTCGCTTTAATATAGGTTATAATACCGATTCAGATACAAATCTGAATAAAAATACTGTTTATAAAAACAATATCCAATATTTAAGACATTTTAAATCAGTACACGATTCATAAACATAATTGTTTCTAGCACCAGTGGCAATGAACAAAGAAAAGTATATCCCACAAGTCAATGCGCAGTAATTAAAAAATGGTTTATTCACAAAGACAAAATAATAAAGTTTAAAAAAAAAAAAACGTGTAACCAATGACAAACGAGTGAGAAGTGGTCAATTTGGACTATCAGGACAGAGGCGCTACGACCTACTTTTCGTCGAATTTGAACTGTGTTCCCTGCAAACCTCCCTGTTCACTACCACTTGGCAAGGGACAATCCCAATGGAATGGGATCGAACTCGGTGCCTCACAGTTATCGATTTTTTAACACGTATGGGCTATACTTACCTGTTAATATATGTGTGTTGCGGTTACAGTGCACTGCTGCCAGTTTGTATTAAAACCAAGCGTAATTAAGGGGGCGCAACTCCAATAAAGAACATAAGTTACCAAACTATAGTGAATCTCTCTGCATTCACTTTAATAGTAAATTTGCATTCACTTTAATAGTAAATTTAATGCATGACAATTCTTGACCAATAAAAGTATTTATTTAACATTCCGATGATCGTCAACTATATAACCAGAAATAGCCCAAATGTGACAATCAATCAATAAAGATAATGAAGGGCGAGGGCAAGGGCGCCGGGTGTGTGTGGGGGGGAGGGGGTAATAACCGGTTAGTGCTAAATGATAAGGCCAGCTTAATTTTTCGTCCTTGGTCATGAGATGTAAATAGGGCTAGCGCTAATCCCAACCCTAAGTCTAACCCTGGACCTAGCCCCAATGCTTACCCTAACCCCAACCCTAACCTACAAGCTCGCCAACAATCATGTACCCTAACCTTTTTTACATCTCAGGGACCATGACAAACATTTAGCAGGCCTTAACAAATAGATTTAGCCGTAGTAACCGTCACAGGGTAAAAATGTATTTTACTCTGTGGTAACCGTTGTACTAAAAAGGAAACTATCTTGGCGTTATTTTCGTACGTGATTTTCCAAATTTAATTATGTTGGTTTGTTTTCTGGCCCTTCTTTCTCAAAATCACAAATACTCACCAAAACCTGCACAAAATACAAATTCAATTAGATAAAATTGTATTTCAAGAATAAAGAGCACGTAAAGCAAACATACAGAACGTGTAATAACGTAATTTGATCAATTTTTACGACAAATCTGATTAAAATTATTCGGCAAACATGGGTAACACTCCTTAAAACACTAAATCCCATAATAAACTATAATGAATAAAAGACAGATGTCCAAAATGGGTAGCACGATATAGAAATGAATATAATTGGGTTTAACCCTCTAACTTTTCTGTGGCCGACTGGGCTAATGAGAATGGGGCACGGTATAGACTATTTTTCCTATATCATTTCACAGGAAACCATATGTAGTATTTGTTAAATGGGTTTAAATGAGCATCTAAACCCTAGGCTACAGAAAACTACTATAGGATTAGGCCTATAGGACTAAGGAATTGGTGTTGTGTGTTGTTTTGTTTTGGGTTTTGTTCGTTTGTTTTGGAGTTTTTTTTAGGGGGGGGGGGGGCATATTCTAGTATGTAATTATATTATACAGAATTGGGGGTCCGGTATGAGTCCTGTGACTTCGATTAGGCTTAGCACACACCATCTCGAGATAGAGCGTCGTTATAAAAATATTCCGCCACATGCACGTTTATGTAAACAATAATGTAATAATAATCAAATAGAGGACGAATACCATTTCATATTTAACTGTAATAAATATAACAATCTTAGAAATTCAAATTTTACGCCAATTTTCAAAAGAAATCCGCACATTGTTTTAAATCCCCCAAACGAAATTGCTAGTCAGGTTGTTTCATATGTATATTAATTATAATATATGTGTCTCAAGAAAGAGCATCAGAGTTACCTGTTAACCGGCCTACTCACTCTTGACCCTCCTGTTGTGCGCCCTGACTGCTTATTTCCTGCTTCAGGATATTGGGTGACATCATACTGACAAGATAAAAATTCTACCCATTGAACATTGCTAATTCTAGGGTGGGATAACCCTTTGATCTATAGGCTACTATGAGACATTATTATGAATTAGCCTTTATATTTTGTGTGATAAATTTTGACAATAAAAGATGGTTGATTATTTCCTGCATCAAGATATATGCGGTGACAAGATAAACATTCTACCCATGCTAAATTCTATTTGATTTTCTGGGCGTATCATAACGCTTGACAGTTTTATTCAGACAGGAAAAATCATTTTCACGCATGCCCAATCGAAGCTGTCTCACGTGTAATCTCGAGAAATGACTCCCAAAGTAGAAACATGAAAGGAGACAATGTCAGATAAGAAGGATATGCTGGAAAATGACAAGTGCATTTAATACTTCCGACAGAAGTGGGGAGGAAAATACACTACCCATCTTACCGTTAAGTCAAAACACCATGACAGATAGAAAACAGAGAATGGGGCCCGAAAGCAGCAGCTTGCTGTCTGGAAAAACGGTTGTGTTTAGTAACAAAGATGGCGGGAACAATAACGATAAACAAACTTGTCAAAGTGACAGCACATCTTCTTTTACTATTCCTAAAATACAGAGACGGAAATTGGGTAAGTTTATTCATTCACAGGAAAATAAACGAAATCAATGTAATTGTTATATATCACGGTGAATATAGGATTTGATTAGAAAGACGGCTTAGCCATGTCTATCTATGTATGTGAATGTCAAGTTATGAACAGCATAATTGTTTATTATATTATTATCAGTTGTGTCACATCATCCTAACACATGTGTATAATTACTATTATATCTAGGTCACTTAAAAAAAAAAATAGTTGGTGATAGTTTCTTTTTTTTCCCAAAAAAATGTGGGTGGAGTTTGGTTTGTTTTGTTTTTTTATTTATTTTTTAAATAAATGGATGCAGAACAAGCAATACACATATACATCAGGAATATTACCGATACTATTATTAGACCTAAAAGCTTTTATTTCCTGTCAAAACTCAAGTCATCTGCTTAATTATATAATAAAGCCACTGATTGCCATTTGCATTGTCCAGATTTTCGAGCGTGGTTCTCCTTTGTCAGTGATGCAGGACAGAGGACCTGACCAGGGCAGCTGTTTAGTCGTTCAAATGGGAAAGAAAACCGAAGTCCCGTGTACACATTGGCGTGCACTAAAAGATCCCTTGACAGTTGGAATTCGATATAAGAGTAGGCTGTAGTGCTGCTGTCTAGGCAAAATCTCCCTCATTGCACACCGTAGGCCTATGGCGTATGCCCGTCTTCATTAGCCCATTTCTGAGCAGAACAGTAGGACGTTAAACCCCACTTCATTTCTTATTTTCCATGTCATTTCGGTCCCGCGTCATTGCGGGTTTACGACATTTCAGACTAAAAAAAAATAGGCCTCAACGTTTCGGACTCAGACAGGTGACATTTCAGACTTGGGTACCGGTAGGTGATGCTTCGAACTCGGGAATAAGTTGAAAGGAAAGGTTAAACACAACTGTCAGATCAATTTATAATAAGCCAAAAGTGATGAATTTATTATAAATAACTTAAGCAAATTGAAAACACGAAAGAAAATATTAACACGAAACAGGTGGTTATTAAAAAGGCTCCACCAAACGATATTTGTTGAACTTATGGTTCTTTATCATTGTTTCATGTAAAAGTAATATATCTTTTAAAAAAGAATTTATTTCAAAACGAAAGACACAAAATCAAAAGTAAATATTTACACGACATGCGCTGTTTTTACAAGTCCCTAGAAATTTTTAACAATAATCTGTATGCTGCACGTTGACACACATTTTTCGACAAACTTGACATAGATAGCAGTACCAATCGATAAATTAGTGCGAACAAAGAAAACTCTTTTTGGAAAATATTAGAAATTGCAACGATCAAAGTGGCATAATTAAAGCTGAATAACCGATAATTCCGATGTTATTGTAGGTGGATCATCGATAATGGGGGCCATGTCACGTGTGTTGGCGGCCGTGTGTTGATTCGATTATTCTGACTCTGTAGTAAACTCATGTAAAAGACATTTAAGCTTTCACAATTATGAAAACGTTAGCAGTTGATGGTCAATCAAGCTCGTTTACTGTTTTTAGAAGAAAAATAATGAATTATTACTAAATATGTACACAAATTTTCAACAATATCTTATTGTCAAGTTCAATACTCGCTCATGAAACAAAACAAAATAGAACAAGCAGTGTTAATTTTTTATTAGCGGTCTCAACAATCGCTGATCAATTAAATAAAACAAAAGAAAACTAACGGCCTCACATAAAACAAAAAAAAACTGCTGTTACAAATATGTATCACACAAAAAGTCATCAAGTAAGTCCGAAACGTCGTCAAACTGAGTTCGAAATGACACCGGACCGAAATGTCGTGCTACTCTTATAAGGTGGTGCCGGCTGGTTAACTGTTGGAGGATATCAAGTGTTGCAAAAATTTCTATTCATGTCATCTCTCTGGGCTAATATTCTCTTTAGACATTCGACTTTCATAATAATGTAGTCGCAAATAGTAAGACCGCCAGAAGAAACCATAGATATAGTTTTGCACAATGAATAACGAACACTAATATCGGATGGCATCGATCGATTTAGTCATTCATGGCCATGGCGATTAATATCCTCTCACAATGTACGGTATTTTTTTCTTCAACATACTGAAAATCTTTTGTTACATTTATTCGAGAAAGCGTTCCATGTAATTCAGAATCGCGTCATCGACAAGACATGTTCCCATCTTAAAATATAGTTCCAAGTTGTATTGTATTCAAAATAGTGTATTTGATGCTGTATGCGCGCAAACGAAAATGTTGGTCATCTGTTGTTAACAGGTCGCTATTTGTTTATATTATTCAGTCCTACGAATTTTAAGAGTATTGCATCACGTGTCAATAATTATATCTGCTTCATTAACTCTTGCGCCACGGACTACAGTGCGTTAAATTTTGGTAATGTTGGGAACGGGTAGATTTGGTTAGTTTGCAGTAGAAGAGGTTGTTCTCTTCGGACGTTCGTACTCGACCAATTTAAGGGTGGCTGTATTAAACAGACCCTGTGTTGCCCGATGTTGTATAGGTTTTGAGTAAACAAGTCTGGCAAAAATGAATTGCCGAATCATTTCATGAACTGGCGACTTGTAAGAGGACTGACTTTATGAAGATTTGGAACTCGTCTTGTACTATTGAAGATTTGGAACTCGTCTTGTACTATAAAGATCCTGGGCCCTTATTCACGAAAACTTAACTAAGATACAATCGAAATTTTAAGAAATACTGCAATTCGATTGGCTGACCAGTAAAATCAATTTGCATATATCCAATGAAGTTGCAGTATTTCTTAAAATTTCGGTTGTAACTTAGTTTAAGTTTTCGTGAATAAGGGCCCAGAACCTTGTTCCCCTATCAGTTGATTATCTAGATGTTACATGTAGTACTAGTAGTTATATAAACACAAACACACAATATTGTTCTACATTTTGTTTGTTATTTATCATTGAATAATAAAATCGATATTATCAAGATCGCTTTACATGTATTTGTTTAACTACATGTACATGATGTAGTAACAGCTTTTCAACAGCTAATAAATATATCAACTGATTTTTATCCTGTTCCGAACGAAGTTATGGTAGGGATATTGAAACAAGTTCTTTCTGTTAAGATCAGGGGCAGAGCATTTTCCGTCTTTGCACACTGCATTATGTATAAAATTATACATTAATCCCTATTTCATTTTCAAAATAAATTTTAAAACTCCAAAAATATATATTACTCCATTGTCTGAATATTGTCATCATTTCATAGATAAATGATATTGTTACCATTCTAAATGACCTTGCCTAACCTTGGAATGGACACAGCTTTGTGTCTGACATGTAGATAAACACTTATTTTACCTTTTGTTTTGTTGAAGCTTTGTCTAAGATACTCATCGTTAATCTAGTCGTTCGGATGGGACGAAAAAGCGAGGTCCTGTGTACACATTAGAGTGCACGTAAAAGATCCCTTGGCAGTTGGAATTCGATATAAGAGTAGGCCGTAGCACCTCTGCCCGTGCAAAATTTCCCTCATAGCACACTGTATGGCGTATGCCCGTCTTCATTAGCCCAGTTTAGGAGTAGAACAGTAGGACGTTAAACCCCATTTCATTTATTGTTCATCTTTGTCTTGCCGTCACATAAAACTGGGCATGCTTGTTCCTTGGACAATATTGCATCGCATGTCGGGCTACAATTTTTGATACATATATGTCTTAATTAAAAATGGCTGTAAGACACCATACTCGGCTCCTGGTTCATAGCACCCTTGTATTTGTTCGGCAGAGAAAGTTCATCAGGATTTTCTGGCGTGGTGGTGCGGGACCAAGGGCCTGGCAAGGGACAACACATAGTTGTTAGGAAGCTACAAAAAAACCTAGGTCCGTTGTACACATTGCTGTGCACGTACATGTAAAAGATCCCTTAGCAGTTAAAATTCGATATAGGCCTACATATCTGGATTCTGGGCCAAATTTCCCTTATAGTTATAACACACTGTATGACGTATTCCCAACTTAATCAGCCTGGTCGGCGTAGAACAGTAGGACGTTAAACTCCCTTTCATTTGTATTTGTTAAATACCCTTTCCTCATTCCAGATCTTTTGAGTGAAATTTCTAGCAGTGATTATGAATATCAGCAGGAAATTTTACCTTCACTCCAAAAGAGCTTTTATTATAAATCTTCAACCAACAGTTTTACGTTTAAAAGGATATTTACAGTACATAACAATGATTTGATGAAAAAGGTATCAGTATTATTTTCTGCCATATTTTAACTTGCTGAAAAACTAGTCTTAAAGATGGGTTCCCGCGTACAAACTAGGTGATTTAATGGTATATATGGACCAAAAACATAGTCAAACTAATTAATTTGTCATAATTATGCTTCAAATCCTTCTCAAACATTGTAATTGCGAAGGAATGCCCTTCTATTAAAATTCGATCAAACCAGGTCATGTTGGGAGTCAGATGAGAATTCATTGCATACATAAGACGATGTTGTCTTTAATCGCTTACATGTACTATTTATTACAAATATCGAATCCTAATTAAATTCTCAGATTATCCACTACCCGAGTCTTTTTCCGTCATTTTTATCTCAGAAAGTATTGTACGTCTAACTCTTCAAAAAGTTTATCAACTTGTACATCAAGCGCTCAATGTTCGCTTGTGACCTTTGACATCACGCGTTCAGAAGTTCCTAATCGTCGGGCTGTTGATTAGAGGAACCCTTACATTTTTGTCCTGTATACGCTCCATGAGTGTTTTTCGGGGAATCCAGTATTTTTCTAGTAAGATTGGATATCTCTACTTTCCATATATACCAAAATTGCCATACTTTTATTGGAAATAACCACTCAATAAATACTTTTCTGGGAACCCATCTTTAAGTTTCCTGTCTGTAATGGACACAGTCTTCATTAGCCCAGCATGTGCAGAAAAGTTATACATCAATCAAATCCCATTTCATTCATTCTGTAATGGACACCCAAATTGCTTAGAAATGTTTCATTTCCTGGCAATATATCATTGTCATTTTATTTGATATTTTAGTTTATTACGAGACGGAAATCTATGAAGTCGGAAGGTTATACGGATAAAGAATTAACAGAGATGTATGGTTTTTTGGCTGTTGATACTTCACAAGTAAGATTATTTCTTTATATTCTGAGAGTTACGGTTGTTCAGTGGACTTCGGCTTGCCAGCCTGGAGGTCCCATGTTTGATCCCTGTGATAACCGAAAAATTTTATTGCCATTTTCCAGCATGGTTTCCCTTTGTATACATGCCAAGGTTCGGTTATGAACTTTAAATTCCATACCGCGATTCGGTAATTACAGTATAGATATTTGTAACCACCCGTTTTCTTCCCCAACTCAAATTCTTATGTCCCCCTGTTGTTTATGTGACAATGAGGAAAAATGGCAGCAGTGTTCCGCCAAAGTTACATACACCTCCACTTAACTATAAATCTCGCATAACATTTTGGATTTAAAGATGGATAAGCTGTGACTAACGATATAACAAAGTGTTGCCATTGTTATGCCGATGTTTCATATAAAGCTGGAAACATGTCAAACATAGTGACACATGTAAAACGCCACCACCCACAAATAAACGTCGATTTTAGTTGTAAGAAAATAAATACCCATACATCCTCCCCCCCCCCCCCCAAAAAAAAATTGTATCGTTGCAGCCCTAGTGTACACATTGGTAAAAGAACCTGTGACAGTTTGAATTTGATGTAAAGGTGGTAGTGCTACTGTCCAGGAGAAATTTCCCTTACTCATTGTAGATATATATTGAAAGTTTGATTATCAAGGAGCTATTTACTGTTCCAATAGAGTGGGAATATCTCGGAAGATACCCAACTGTTTGGAGTGGAAATTTCACTTACGTATACATGTATGCTTCTAACCTATATATGATGTAAGCTTATTGTTATTAAAATACTAATGAACTGATTATCCACAGGTTCAAGAAATATGTAAAAATGGATTGAAAGTTGGAAATCAAAAATTGTCAGTTCTTGGGCACCCGGAAATGGGTAAGTCTTGTGTATTGTAAGATTACTGTTTGGTTTTACGGCTATAGTCGTTTGGATGGAATGAAAAACCGAGGTTCCGTGTACACACTGAAGTGCATGTAAAAGATCCCTTGACAGTTGGAATTCAAAATAAAGATAGGCCGTAGTGCCACTGTCTGGGCATTACCGTATTAGTTAGCCCAGTTCGAGCAGAGCAATCGGTGTTAAACCCCATTTCATTTGTTATGACAGTCATTTTGTACCTGAAACCTGTAACATTTATAGATTAATTCATAATAAGAGATGAGTGTCAAGCAGAGGTGGGAACTCAGATTCTGTGTCTCTGGACTCAGCTGTAGTGATGACTCGCGACTTGAAAGAGCTTAGGACTCCAGTCATGGCAAGGGGACATAACACTAACTTACATGTACCTCATTCACCATGAATTGCTGACCCAATTTGATAATCTGGTGACTTGAATGGGACTCGGGCTTTGTGAAGACTTGGGACTCAACTTCGTCAAGTATCATGATTATGAATCAATTTACATCAATTAAACAATATCGCTATATATGTATCACTACAACTTTGATACCCAACACTCATTATCTAATCCGGACAGAGTATTTTAAGGTACAGTAAGAAACACGATTGTTTTCTATGGTTCTCAACGAATATGAAGTTTTCCAACAACAGTTTGAAATCAAACATTAAATACAGAAACTACAGTACAACTACATGGTACCTGATTTGTAGTGTATTATGCTATAATTCTGATCTATACCTTTAAAGTGTCGACTTTTAATATGTGAATATTCATAAAGCCAAATAATCTGTGGTATTTTAGGTGTGCATTTATGTAAATATGCAGATGTAATTCCACCTAAACCTGTACCATTTTGGAAAGGAAGTTTGATAATGTTCAGAATTATAAAGGTATGTAATAGACCCTTGAGTTCAATCAAATAATGGGGGTTTGGTGGCCATGTGGTCTTAATGTGTGAAGAGGGATTTGGTGGTCGGATGGTTAATGCGTGCGTATTGTATCAGAAGGCTTGTCCATGTGGCATGGTTTCGATTCTCTGCTTGTACGTGGCAAGGTGTATTGTTGTCTGCGTAACCTCATGGGGTTACTCTGGGTTCTCCTGTTTCCTCCCATTGCTAAAGACCCCTTTGCGCAAGCGAATTATTCAAATAAAATTGAACCATATGTTAGTCCTGAAATGACCTAGTTTGTGTTGAGTGGATGTTAAATGCCATTTCTCCATTTATTATTTGAGTCTTGTATCATATCGTGGGTTAGGTGGCCAAGTGGTCATATCTTTTGTTATTGAGTCTCACATGGTTTGATTTAAGATCCCTGAGCAGTGGTTTATCTCCAGATAGCTACCACAGCTAAAGATACTACGAACAAGTATATTCTTAAACATACATTATGCAAGAGATAAATTTGCCTATTGCATATCTTTCTTTAGGCCTGAAAAGTTATATAAACTATTAATTAGACATTTATTAACAAAACAAGACCATAATCAACTCTTGATGGCATCGGATACTCAAGATTTTAACTAGATTATAAGCGCTCGCCATTTAAAACTTTAATTTATAAATAGGAAAGCGAGGCTAAGTCTCGAATATACCAGTGCCCTGGTTACCACAATGCACACATCTTGTAAAAACTACAAACAGTGATAACTTAGCTCAGAATGAAGTAATTTGAATGAAATTTTCATTTTACATTATCTATTTTTTAGCTATTATAGCAGAGAGAGAGAAATGGGGTTTAACGTCCACTCGACACAAACTAGGTCATTTTGGGACTAACATATGGTTTAATTTTATTTCAATTATTCGCTTGCACTTAGGGGTCTTTAGCAGTGCCAGGAAACTGGAGGACCCGGAGAAAACCCACGAGGCTGGACAGGCAACCATACTCCTTGTCACAGGGGATTCAAAACCACGCCAGTTGACTCAATGACAGGCTTTAGCACGTGCTAACCATTCGGCCATCCAACCCCCCGCTATTATAGCAAGAATGATCAACTCTTTATCTAAATGTTACATAATGTATCTTTAAAATAAAGATATACTGTATGTTATTTTGAAATACCTTTGATTCCCAAACCACTGATCTTTTGGAATTTTTAGTTTTTGGCCTGTCGAACAACAGGTTTATATTGATTTTTGACTTGTCCTCGGTAATACTGTCAATCATTAATAACCGAAACATGTGCTGCACAAATAATCTGTTCTGGGCAATTTCATTATGTTTATGGTTTACATTATTTTGTGTCAGTTTATCTAATTACTTTCAGAATTCCCCAAAATAATGTCAAGGAAATGTTTGATCACTGTTATAGGGGGGATATTTGTGAATAGATAAGGTTTACTTGTCAGATATTCACAATGTATTACAAACGACAATACTATATACCTGAAAACACCATGTTATACTGAATACTGGAAAACACCGGAAAAACACTCAATACCGGAAAACACACTAAATACTGGAAAATACCCTAAATAGGTAACCCAGAGCCTGGTCCTCTGTGTGCCTGGGTTAGGGTTAGGGCTAGTTTCCGGTTTATAGTATAGTCCTTCTCCGGTTGTTTTCCGGTATTTAGTGTTTTTCTGGTATTCAGTATAACAGTGTGTTTTCCGGTATATAGTATAGCCCTATTACAAAGTATAAGCTGTATTCACTGTAATTGGCCATTCACTGTAATTTGTTGCATTTTTTGGAGCCAAGTTCATTGAACTGGTCACTTTGGGTGGACTGTGTCACATTTCAATAAAGCTGCTCATATTCTGAGCTGTTTAACATTCACTTTGAAGACCATGTTATGTTAAGAATGGATTTGACCCACAAGTATAGATACAATGATCAAGTTTGTTTTCTGTTACAGGGTAAAGTGAAAACAGTAACTGAGAATCTAACAGGTATACATGTGGATCCCACTCCTAATTATGACTGTCATGTTATTAAAACAGTTCTATCTGAAACTAGAAACTTTAGTCCTCAACAAATCTTTGATTTTAGTCAAGTAAGTACTTTTGTCCAGGGGTTTCAGCCTCAGGGTAACTTTTTGGAGCACAATAAGTCTGCTTCTATTTGCGGTACAATGTTAAACGTTCACACTTGCTTTTAATTGGGTTACAATGTTCACACATGCGTAGAAGTTTATTCTGTGTGGTAATGAACATTTCTGCTTAGAGTAAGCCGAGATGAACAATTTGATTGGTCAAGATTTTGGCACACAATAAATTTGATTCTTATTGTACGAAAGTGATGGAACTTTTGCGTGAAATTCCATTACATGAATTACAATGGTGAGCTTGAGCAATTTCATATTTTGATGCTTTCTAAGACACAAACACTGATTCTAATTGAATGAGAGTGATGGAACTTGGTGTATATTTCTATTACATTGATACCTTGACTACGTTAAAAAATAAGAATTTTGTGCTCAGGTTAAGCAGTTTGATACCTCAGTGCATTGTAGAAAGATAAATGTGAAAGTAATTGATAAATGTTATCTATTTGTGGGGGGTCATCAACCTCACTGTTGGTTTGCTTACCCAACTAGTCAATAGGTAATAGAAGTGTTACATATTCACTCTAAAATTGGTATTTATTTTAGATCTATCTTTATGAGTATGAAGATTGCAATCTTGAAGATTATCCAAGTCAGATATTATGTCATGCAGTCATAGAATTTGAATATCGAGATCCAAAACCATCTCAAACCCCAATTAGGTAAATATAATTAAGAGTAAAATGGTAATATAGATAGAACAATTAATGTGACATATATATTGTTCGTTCGATATAATAATTTAAATAAGTCTAAAATAATGTGTCATATAGGAAGGGCTTTCCTTTTGTCATTTTTTTCTTGCCGAATTAGAATGCAGTTTTCCTCTTTGTAATTAATATCTCAAAATAGATGATATATCTTATTCTGATAAATAAAAAGTACAAAAAAGAAAATTGTTTGCTGTGTCAGTGTCTTAAGAGCGTGTCCGTGAGAAAACCATGCAGAAGGTGCTAAGACTTCAATTACAGATTTTGACCAAATTTGGTTTATAAGTTGGGATAGTCCCAAAACACATAAATGTGCAATATTACTAGATAAATCTTTCAATTCCTGTACGAGAAAATTGAAAAAACATTTTTCATATGGTGAAATTGCCAAAATCTGTCCTTTCACAAATACCAACTTTGGCAAGTCCTTACACCTTTACTATACGTAGCTGAAAGACCAAACTCACACAGTTTGTCGATGACTCAGTGCTGTTACCACAATATTAACTTCAGACGATTCTGGCGAACGAGATCTGTATACGGACTGGATATCAAAGCCTGTCTAAATTCCCCATTTTTCGTCACCCAAAGTTTGACGCCCTATATCTACTTCTTTCATTGGGTGGGTTTAAAAAATTTACGCTCACGTGAACAAGCAACCTCCCAACATTTGATACAAAAAATAAAAATGACCGGAATCGACTTGACAAAAACTAGGTAAAGGAAACAATAACCCATGAAATTAATCTGTAATTTCCCTATTTTGGAGATAATTAACCGTAGTAGATGAAAAAAACCTAACAATTTATCTTCCTTTTCATTCATATGGTGTTTACTACCAGCCCTAAAATACATTAGTATCTGTTTTATAAAAATATCTTGAAAAAAATACTTTCAAAGGCCTGTAATCGTTAATGGCTCATCTGGCGTCGACGGGAATTGACTTCCGCAGTTGTCCACGACCTTCCATTGGAGTTTCGACTTGCTCAATCTTAACAAACATATCCATTACTCTCAAATAGACATTATTTTAAATAAAATAATCCAACGAAAATGAAAAATTCACCTAAAAGTGAGATTCGAACCACCAACCCCATGACTTCCCCCGACCCACCCTCTCACCGAGTTGCTTGTCCCAGGGCCCCAAGGTCCATGTTGTGGGCCCTGTTCAGGGGGTTTGCCTAGGGCCTCTCTTATTCTAAATCCGGCCCTGAAGGTGCAGCTGACGGTGCCCGAGAGCTGTAGCTACCATAGTACACTGTTCAATGTCACCCACTTCGACGCAATTAGGCTTCGTTGCCGTTAATATTTAAGCTTCCACATTTCTGTATTGTAGAAATCAGTGGATGTGTCCCAAAATGAATAGTGGAAACATTCTCTGAAATTAAACATTTTGTAGCCATTTTCGGTAACTTGTTTGAAAATGAAATCTTAAAGAGACAATACAACAAATATGTTAAAGGGACAATACGACAATACCAAATATACAATAAATACAAATGCACACTTATATAGAGTACAACATGGTACAAATAATGGCTATGGATATGATGAAAACATATAAAAGTCAAAAATTTTATTTCTCTAATTAAATTTGCAAAAAAATGTATCACAAAAGCTTATTTTTAGCACTTTTCAATAAGCTGTATATTTTAAGTATGTTGCATTTCGGTCATTTTTTTTTACACTTATGGATACTATGTGCTTAGCACTTCAAAACCATCCAAAGAAATTCTACTTGCGACCATGAAAGAAAAAGTTACAGTGTATCTTTTTCTGCACTGTAAGGACAATGTGAATATGGTACCCTAAAACAAGTCCACACAAAATTAGTATGTACTGATTTTTTTTTTTCAAATTAGTGCTGGGGTAGAAGTTGACCACCCGCTTTATCAGACAGGGTCAAAATTAGAAGGTTGCTATTCCACCATAGAATGCAGTCTGTGCTTAAAAAAGGGTGATAAATACACGTGAAAACCGCAATTTTACCCATAAAATGAATAATTCCTGTACAGTCCTTTAGAGCGACATCAGACTGTAACCACTTCAGCATGTTACCTCTTGCCCCTAGGGGGTGTCATACCATAAGTTTGATCAAAAACTTCCGACCCCCTATCTTAGCACTTTTTGCGATTTTTGCATGGTCTTCTCGCGGATACACTCTTAAATAAGATGATAATGGGGGTTTAAATTCCTACTGTTTTGCACTGACTGGGCTAATGAAAGACTGCAAGTTGTGAGGGTTGTTATAAAACATAATCAAACCCCACATCATGTATAGCACCTGAGTGCTGGTTTGAATTTCAGATGTTATTGGGTTGAAGCTATCAAGGTCGCTACCAGAATTGTCAGCCCAGTTGTTATATTAAAACTCTTGATGAAGAACGTTGACATGTGTACTTGAAAGAGTACACATGTACTGCCTTGTGCACAAGATCCAATACATGTCAGCATTCATCAAGGATTTCCCTATCATTGGTGCAGCATGGAGGGTCTGGCAAGGAAAAGTGACTTATTTATATGTATCATAAAAAAACAACGAAGGTCGATGTATATTTGGCATACACCTAAACGAACCCCTGACAATTGTAATTTGATGAAGTGTAGGTCAGAATGTAGGACTTCCTCTTCTTTTCAGTAAATATATACCATATAACCTACAGCCTCCATCATGTAATATAACGCCTGTATCTAGTCAACTACCACAATCAGAGGTACCTGATGAGGAATATATAACATGGAATGGTAAACTGGCTGTTAAAGGAACATTTTATAAGTGTAATGCATCGTTAGTATCAACAGCAGGATATTATAAACCTGTTAGATTGTAAGTACATTATTATTAAATTACATTTTATGGATGGACAGACCTGAGCCGATCTAGGCTAAAATTCTCATGTTATGTTGAGACCAAGCAAAACAAATTTTTAATTACACGTCCAGGCCATTTGCAATGTATGTGTTTTTCTTGAGGTAAAACATTGGCTTAAACATCCTCAATCTGCCTGTTGCAGGTCTTTCTTTAGGCCTTAAATGTTATCTAAATTATTAATTAAGTTATCACAAGACCATAATCAACTCTAGATGCCATCGTTAGACTGCGATATTTGAATACGTTTTGTGATGGATGATTTAAAGTATAAATGGATAATCGAGACTTGGCTTTTTATCATACCAATGAAAGTAATGACAAGTGAGACTAGCCTAAAATTGAATCGCTAATATCTTGGTTCAGAGTGAAGAAATTTGACTGAAATTTTCAGCATATTCTGTTATCATTATCTATTTTTAACTATTATAGCGAGAACTCTAAGCTCTTCATCTAATCTTACCTAATGCCCCTTTAAAATAATTTTATAAATTCCTTATTTATAAAAAATAGAAAGTATTTCAAGAGGGAAAGAAAACAACCATAAAAATTTGTCAATTTTCATTGCAAAATCAGGAAACTTTTCTGTTTATCCAGGATTTACATTATAAATATTAAAGAAAACGTTTGTTTGTTGATAAAGATATAGTGACAAAACATTACTTTTACTATCCTACCTCCCCTCTGTCAAAAAGTGGAAGTTATGAATATTTACCGTTGCTTGTATTCTTTGTAGAGGGAGTACTATCAATATTTCTAAAAGATCGGATTTAAAGAGTGCAGAAGTTAAATATTTTGGTCAGCTAAAATCCATTCGTAAGAATGAAGAAATGTACTGGAGAGGTCGTTATATTAATGTTGGTGAACTACGGCCTAAAGATGATGGCAGCAAGTCGCAGTTTAACAAGATAGTTTCATACTTAACTAAAAAGAACAGTGTAAGTTGTTCACTGCTTACAAGTAGAAGTCTTTCTTAATACAAGTGAGGTGAATTTTCTCTGTCAAATTTAAAATACAAAAAGGAGATTTAATGGAGGTATAGGTATGCAAACATTAACCTTTCCGATATTGATCACTTACTGTGGCAATGTCTACTATAAAGAAACTGGACCAGGTATCCGGTTCCTGTGGAAAGTTTAAATCATGTCAGATGACTTGGTGACAAATCCTCACTTCTGATTGTAGTTGTTTATTGTGGTTGTTGCAATTTGTGTAGTATTTGATGATGGCCATTGACACATGAAAGTCATTAATTGATATTTATTTCGAAATTAGAATGTAAATTTGTCTGTCTGTTTGATTTTCTTTGTAGATGGCGATAGTGAAACCCGATCCTAATACAGTCATGGTATTATTACCTGAATGTTCTCTTACTAACCAGATAGGTTTGTACAGTATTTAATCTTAGTCGTCTCCTTTTGATATAAAAAAAGAATTAAAAAATCAAACGTTCTTTAAGTGACAACTTTTGAAAGACATGGCATTTTGACCAGATAGAATTGAAATGAAATGGAGTTTAACCTCCCACTTTTCTGCACCAACTTGACCATGTGGTGTGCTACAATGGAGAGTTTGTCCGGACAGTGGCGTTCGCGTTGACTCTTCGTTGAAACCCAATTGCCAAGAGTTCTTTTCCAGGCAAGCCAAACTGTACAAGGGACCTAGGTTCCAAAAATGTCAAGTCCTCCCCCTTACATCACTCACAAAGTGAAACTAGGCTTTAAAATCCTGGGGAACTATCTTGACCAACACCAGGATCGAACCAGTCGACCCACTTGACCTGCACAAATAGATGTACATATTATTATATTGAATTCGTTAGTGCCTTAAATCAATATTGAAATATCTCAAGGTCAACCAATTGAGCCACGCTCCTTTAAATTTGAAGACATCTTCAAAATCAAATGAAATCTGGAAATAAAGTTAACGTTGCATTTTGTTTTGTTTGTTTTCTTAATTTTCAGGTTTGACTTGTCCTAATCAGCACTCTAGTTTCCTCCATTGTTTATTTTTATCTCGACAGTCAGCAAAATATAAAACTGCAAGTAAGTTCATAAGGTGTTGTTTAAGGCAGGACACTACCTAAAAATTTCACAGATTTGATCATTTATGTTAAAATATTTTAGCCCACAATTGCCCTATATATCTTAACATTAACCCTTTCAATGCTAGACGTAAATCCACTGCCTGTGCTAGACCCTTTTTTGAGGAAAAAAGGGAGGTTGGAACTGAATGCCAAGCAGTACTTATGGAAGCTTTTATGAAAAATCTTTTTGTCTGTTGGGATGGGCATGAGGTTGGGCTAAGAGGAAAAAATAGAATTTTGGAAATTTGCATAATAATGTAGTCACGTGACGTCATGGCGGCCATTTTGGATTTCTCATTTCACACTAAAGCTAACACGAAAACGAATTTTTCTCCATGAAATACTTAAAAGATATTGTTTTTTTTACTGGATTTTGATAAAGATATATAAAATGAACAAAAATATCAATAGCAGCCATGAGCAATGCCGCCGCGAACACGCGCATCACGTCTCCCGCTGCCATGACCACGTGCGGATTGCAATACCTTGTTTTTACTTTCACTTTCACTTTCATCCCCAAGTCCCATATCATTATCAATATAGTCAGTCAATAGATCTACACGTTCGGGAATCAGGAATTACCTACGTATTTTACGATCCAGCAGGCCAGCATTATTATCAACATCAGAATTAATGTCAGAATCTACTGCAGACACAGGGCTATCGTGTTTACATTGGGCTTGTTCATCATGCACGGGAGACATAGCTAGCCATGGGCGGAACGTCGCGCAACAAATCACACACTTCATAATACCAATCACTGTCCTGACTACTATCTTTATCAAGTAACTGGAAACGAATTATGTGTATCACCCGCCTCGAAATTGTCCACATGTTGGTCAGCAAGACGTCATTCACGACTTCGTCGAGAGTGCATCGTCTACGTTGTCACAATGCACTCCGCCATTTTACGGTTTGCTGCTTTGAAACACGTGGAAATATGTTCTAGTGTATAGAAAATACAATAGATGGCACTTGCAGTTACGGTACTAATTTTAGCGAGGGCTTTACTTAGTACACGGTAATACCGGGTACGGGCATTTTACCGACATTTTATAATACCCGGTACTACCGGGTATACGCAGTGAAAGGGTTAAACCCCCATTTCGCCTTCCTTTTCAGATAGGGGATCACATGGCTAAGTGGATAAGGTGCTGGCTCACTATCCTGGAGGTCGGGTGTTCGATCCCTGCATTGGTCGAGAAACTTCATCCAGATTTTCTGGCGTGGTTTCCCCCTGTCAGTGATGCAGGACGGAGGGCCTGACAAGGAGAGCTGTCTAGTCGTTCGGCTGGAACGAAAAACCGAGGTCCCATGTACATATTGGCGTGCACATAAAAGATCCCTTGGCAGTTGGAATTCGATATAAGAGTAGGCTGTAGCGCCGCTGCCCAGTCAAAATTTCCCTCATAGCACACTGTATGCTTGTCTTCATTAGCCCAGTTTAGGAGCAAAACAGTAGGATGTTAAACCCCATTTCATTTCATTTCCTTTTCAGAATATACAGCTAACATGTACAAGACACAAGGTGTTGTATTAGGTATACAAGATTACAAGCAAAAACCAGAAGAATCTACTGTTAATACGACTGATAAACCACCTTTCATTAATCTTAACCAGTCTCTTCAAGCTAATGCTGTGACTGTTGGCGTTAGTAATCATACTGGTATCCCAGAAACACTAAATATTATTCCTGTTCCATCGCTGTCATTCCAACCAGCTGTACCTCATATTTATCAAAACCAATTCAGTCAAAATCCCATTACTCTGCCTCCTCCGCCTCCTCCTCCCCCTCCTCCTCCTCCAAATGTAACGTCCTCACCTATTCGAAAAGAAGTTGGAAGTTATCCCCTCTTGTGGTGTTCACCAGGACATACTCTGTCAGCTAAAAATCCAGTTGACTATGATGAAGGATTCAATATAACCAATAATACCCAAATGTTGCAGACGTTTAGTGTCAAACAAACATTTGATCAACAGCATACAGCCGAAAGAAACAGGGCTCGTGGTTTAGATTCTAATGGAAAAAGATTAGACCCTAGACTTAAAAAATCTGATCAAAATAAAGCTTTAGTGGAAGGAGCCTTTTTAAATAATAATATTCCTTTAAAGATGGTAATGCAATCGGAAAATATTTCTTATGGGAACAAAGATAGTGATAAAAATGGATCTTCAAATCCAATGATCAGTTATGATCTGAGAGAAATGCCAATGGACATTGAAGAAACTACTAACCATGATGACTGTGATAATCTAATGACCGGTGATGTGTTACCACTTGCATTACAAAATAACACAAATGACGGCAGTGTTTTAAAAGGAATCAAGTCTGCTGATGACATGAAAGATTTTTTGAATGCTAGTATCACCCGAGAAGAAAAGAAATATTACAATGTGTAAGTTTTTATAAGTAATTCACTCTTGTAGTATGTATTTCATTCGTAGTATAAGTCATCAGTAATAATTGAATGCTTCCATTTGAATTGGATTGATATAGATTTCAATAACTTGATTATGTGTGCTATATTTTTGAATGACTTTTTAAATATTCCATAATTTTTTTTTAGACTTCTCCTAAAAATAAGACAAGCAAATAAGCTTATTGGAAAGAAATGCATTTATTCTGTGTTTGTGTGTCTTTATTGCATCTGTGTGTGCTCCCAACTTTTAAGTTCGATTCTTGACTGCAATATAAAACCCATTTCACCCTTCTGTCGTAAGTCTAAAATTATGACATCACTTGTGCTTGAAAATTGTTTATGATCTGCTATTCTAGAATTTGACCAAAAACTAAGTTGTAATCCTTTTATGTGCTATAAATTAAAATTTGTGCATAAGAAATGGGCATCCTTGATTTGGATTAAAATAAGGTGCTGAATTAGGTTGATGGAAATTGCCTTTTGATTGGTAATGGACAAGTAAAGACCTGTGCCGTTATATTACCATTTCAATTATCATTGCCATTATATTATTTTTTTCAAATTTACCAACTTAACAATGTAAAAAAAATTAATATAGAAAGATATCTATTTCACAAAACAAATCATATTGTCAAAGTTAAGGCTCCTATTTCACCCAAATCAAAGAGGTTGTGTGATTTTAATGTACATGTACAGTCCAGATACTGTGTATGTGTGTGTTTATTGTGTGTGATCATAGCTTTGTTTTTTTGTATACATATAGAATAATAATTACCTTGTATTTAGAAAAACCCAGTCCCCTAGAAGATGTGAACAAAATAAAGCAAAAGTACATTCTCCCGCAAAAACCAACATTTTATCTCCAGGTTTCTTATATATATATTACAAATTAGCATGTTGGGATATTGATGATAGTTAATATTAGATTTTTCTTGGACTTTTCATGATTTAAATATAGGGCTGCAATGATACCTGAACCAGAGATACAATATGCATCACAATTCATAGTCTATGATAAAAATTAATATGATTTAAAATCACAAATTGTGGTTTACAAACTGGACGACTACAACCATCAAACAACATCTTAGGTTTTTATAGCCTATTGTTTTAGAATTGTAACTTGTTTTAAAAGTTGAATTTTATTTTAGTTGGCCTACATGTACCATTTAATACTTTCATGAACTACAGTATTTAAAGTAAAAATAATATTAATTTAAAATTTAAAAAAAAATAAAAAAATATAATCTTATTGATTTCTACAGACCTCTACATTTCATAAATACAAGGATTAAAAACTCTTAATTCTTAAATTGGTTAGCTATCAAAATAATGTTTGTTTACTGTACACGTAAGTGGCTTTATAGAAAGATGGACTGTGGATGTTATTCAAGAATATTCCAAATACCGAAGTTCAAGTGGTTTCTAAATTAATACGCAAATTAGGATGATTAAAAGCAGACAAATTATTATAACTTGTAATGGACTCATTGCATCTCTAATAGAAGAATAATAATGATTATTTTATGAGTTATTATTCAGTTTTCCTTATTAGGATACATGCATATTAATAGTGTAAAGTTACTTTGGTTTTCAAAATATCATTATTCCCCAGTGAATCGTTGCAGCCCTAATAAAAAGGCAGTGGTTTCTAGTCTGCTGGAATCCTCTGAAAGTTTACATGACTTTGTATTTAATTTGTTTATTTTGTTAACTGTTTCAGTTTGCATCATTTTATTGATTTTTGCATGGTTGATTTTTGTTTTGTTATACATTTACTCACATTGTTTTGTTATGATTGAAAAATTGCTCTAATTGGTTTAAGAAAAAAGACACTCTAATAGTTTTAGTATTTGGATTTTGTTTTATTAATTAAATATTAAATAATCAATCTGGGTACATATTAGCGTGGATTAAAACCATATAAATGTGATATTTTAGCAAAAAATCTGAATGGCGCATTGTTACTTTAATAAATGATAAGTAATATCAGAGAGTGGAATTTTTGTTACACCATTTACTAATTAAAATGTTACACTAATTAAAAGTATCTTCATTAACAGGACAAATATTCCAATAAATAAAATTCACAGGTGCCTTTTTGAACATGGGTGGATTATTCGATGAAATTTTACAATGATTATCCACGGGCAGTTAAAATGAAAAATAATTTGTCAATCCAATTATCAGATATTTTATGTAATGTTCACCTTTTCTATCATACTTTCTACTCAAGGTATAAAATAAGTGGTGTTTAATTGTTAATCATACCTTTCAACTTGAACACAGAATTGTCTTCAATTAGCAGTTCACTATAACTAGATTTTTTATTTACTTTCAGTGAAAATAAATGATGAAAATGCTTGTGAAAGCAATCATTCGCCAAGAAAACCTGCAACATTCAGCCGTCCATCTAACTGTAATACTTGCTCACCAGATGATAATGCTTTGCCATCACCAGTAAAGCTGTATGCACTTAACTGTTCATCTAATTGCAGTGCTTGCTTACCAAATAAAAGTGCTTTGTCATCGCCAAGAAAACATCCTGCATTGAACAGTTCACATAAAAGCAGCACTTGCTCACATAGTCCAGTTCATCAAGCCAAAAGTAGTGATGATAGGCAAAATGATGCTGTTAAATTAAAGTCTATTTTATCATCACCACAAAAGCATCTTGCATTCAGAAGTCGTCCTAAATGTTTTCTCGGTAAAAAATTTCTAACGAAGAGTTCTTTTGAAATTTGTGCTGATTGGCTAAAGGATGTCACACCAATTCAAAGTGCTTTGCCATCCCCATCCCTCATTAGTGCATCATCATCATCACCAAATAAACTGCATCAAGCCAAGAGTCCTCCTAAAATTAGTGATGATGCTTTAGGATCACCTAGAAAACATTTTACATTCAGCAGTTCTCCTAAATGTGGTGATTGTTTGTCTTGTCAAAGTCCTTCTCTGATTTGTTCTGATAGGTTAAATGATGATGCTGCAGTTGAAAGTACTCTACTGTCCCCAAGGAAATATCTTACCTCGATCGACCCCTCTAAATGCAATTCATGTTCACCAAGTAAAGATCAACAAGACAAGTCTCCCACTGGATTTACTGGTTATGGGCTAATTAATACTACTACATCCATGAGTACGTTGGTATCACCCCACAAAATTCCTGATGTAAAATTTTCAAGTGTGAAAAGAAATCTCACAGCAACATTCACCATTGATTCATCATTCACACATCATTTGAACAATTGTCCTGAAGTTGTGGATGATCCACAAAGAAATGTCTCAAAAACCAAAGTCAGTGTCATTTCATCACCTCCAAAAAATTGTAGAAGCAGCTGTCCTAAATTTTGTGCAGATTTTCCCAAAAAAGCTTTAATCACTCTTGACAATAATAGTTCATCAAAAACAGACCAGTTGTATAACCCATCTGAAAAGATTGCTGTTTCTTCTGAAAAAGCTTCATGTGCTAATATCAGGACTTCCTGTTCTCCTGCTGAAAATTCTTGTTCCCCAGAAACTGCTGCCATGATCAATACCACTACTTATACAGTAGCCGAGAAGAAGCCTTCTGAAGATACTGTCAGTTCACCAAGAGCAATGGCATCAATGAGAAACTATCCTGAAAAACCAAGTGACTTAACTTTTAAAACAAACATTAACAACCATCAAGTTCCAACAAACACTACTTATTCCACAACTGCGTTTGTTTCTGGACAAGGTAAATATTGTACAAAAAACACTCCCATTGAATGTAATAGCAAAAAGCAGATTCTTTCTGTTTCATATGGAAGTTCCACGGAATCATTAAACAGTGGTCCTTTTCAAGAAGACACACAATGTCTACCAGCAGTCTCAACAATAAATATCACATCTGAATCTCATGTTGGTGCATCAAACATTTATGTGGAAACTGATACTATGAACAGCATTAATCTTGAATCGGTTACTTGTAAATTGCAGAAACCAGACAGATGTTCTGATGATGAGAAAGATTACTCCGTCTTTCAGTTATCTTACCCGAGAAATTCTAAAACATTTTCTTCTGAAGACAAATGTGGACGTAAGAACTTTTCAGAAGCTTGTGGTAATAAAAATACAGCATCAAATAATTACTCTTCATATGCTTTTCCTCATCAACATAGTGATGTTCTAGAATCAAAAACAGAAGTGACCCCTGGAACAAATAAAAGACTTCAGCAATCTGGTACCACATTTCCAATTTCTTCTTTGTTACCATCTCTCTATTGTTCTCATGTGGACAAAGGAAACAAATTTCCTCTAGCCGAATATAAATCTTGTGAATGTGCCCCAGATGCTTTCCCATGTGCTTGTCCATTTACATGTAACTTAGATTTGACGGGAATTGAATTATGTTCTTCTGTTCCTTTAACAGAAGGTCTTCACGAAGATGGTGGAATTTTCTCAGATAGTTTGTCTTCCTCTGATGCAGTTGGAACAGCTCTGAATGACGCAGTTGAACTTCTTTCAAAATGGGAAGGAGAAAGTAGATTGACTGATCAGCACTTGCAGTGTGAACCAAATAGAATAATAAAGACAAGCATGTTACCTGATAAATACTCAGTTGAAAACAAGAGTAACAATACAGGACATCAGGTGCAAAACATAAGGCAGCTAAAAGTTGATGACTATAGCAGTTACAACCATATCTCAAATGAGCAGATACAGATGGGGCAGACTACAGAAAACGAGGACTCGGAACTGACAAAGCAAGAATTGCATCTGTCTTGTAAACTTGCCAAAGATTGTGACAATCAGTATGTTAACACTGCAAAGGAAAAGTATGTTGACACAATGAAAGATGACACTGACATTGACAAAACCAAACCAGATACTGGCACTACCAAAACTAGCACTGCCGGTGGCATTGCCAAAACTGACACTGATAACTTTTCTACCAATAACAAGGACATTACAAATTATACTGATATTGGTACCTACAGGAACAAAGAAATCAATGTTGGCACATTAAGGAACATTATTACTTCTTTCGACACTACCAAGAACATTTGCACTTATGTTGCCTCTGCCAAGGACACTGTTACTACCAAAGCTGATACTGATATTGCTGCAGACGAATTAACTGTAATCAATGATAGTTTAGCCGTTAACACTATTGCGATTAAAAAGACAACTAGGTCAACATGTGGAGTAGCAAAGGATAACAATGTAAATGGAGAAGCAAATAAGAACTGTTCTAGTGATAAAACCAACCCTATGACTGTTGACAATACTGAGTCTCAGTCAAACATCAATGACTCGAAATTCAATAAAATTATTTTGGTCAGTACATGCTACAATGCTTCAGCTGATTCTGATGACACATCTTCTGTATCAAACATAACTATTGACAGTACAGTTAATTCTGGAGGTGATACTAGTTTCCATACCAATGGAAGCAACATGACGTCACTAGAAATTACTGACCAACATTCTAAACTTGCAGAAAAGGATCTATCAAACTGTACAAATGATTCTTCTAGAGATGATGATTTCAACCACCGTACAAGAAACCATTCTTCATCAACTGATGAACTTAAAAGAACTCTGTATAATTACCCTTTACATCCAGATGATGATGATGTTCGAAATCTATTTTCCAACTGCACATCAACTATGCATGTCCGTATGGATGATAGCCTTGATGATTTGGAGATTAGAACTGGTTTTAGTCCTTCAGACAGCAGCCCTGTTAACTCGATAAAAAATAATATCTTTGAAACCACACAAGAACGTAACAAAACTGTCTTAAATTTGGACCTTGAATTTAATGTGAATAAAATACAGGCCAGCACACCAGATATTCTTAAAAATAAAGTTTTACATTCACCAAAGAAAGCCGGCTTAAAAACACCCCCAGCAAATCTAAATTCAGTGTCTCACTTTCTGAATCTAGTTAAAGCAAATTCTGAAAAAGAATTAGAAAAGAAAATGTTGAGTAGTCCAGTTAAGATCCGCCCTGAAATTGTCCCAGAATTAGATAAGTGTAGAAGTCCAGGAAAGGTAGAGTCCAGTGCATCTGAATCTAAAGCAGGGTTGAATGCAATGCAGCAAATATGTAAATCGTACACTGATGACTCTGATCAAAGCAAAGAAGAATTTCATGAATTTCCAGAGCAATTTGAAGTCCTTGATGAAGTTTACAGTGATAGTACTCCTGAGAACAGTGGTCATCAGTCTGATGATTTGTGCATCCCAAAAGACATCATTCTCCCATTAACTAACAGTACAGCGGATGGAGACTCTTGTCTAGATATTGGAAATGTTCAATCAACTATTAAAACTAATGACAGTTCATCAATGTTGGAAGACAAAAATTGTGAATGGAACAAAATAGACCATGTAGTTCAGAAACCCGAACCAGCTGTAGGAAGCAAATCATCAAACACATTTAATCTTTCTCTAGGAGAAAAATCATCTCATGATATCCAAATGAAGTCTGTAAGCTTTTCAAATTTGTCTACACTCAATGATATTAACCCATTTCCAGATATAGTTGTTAACCTAACGAGATGTGACAGTCCACATTCACCTGACAATCCCTTTGGATTGTCCAATTTAATAAATAAACAGTTATCAGAGAAGGAAATACAAACTCAGAAAAAGTGGAGTAAATTTTGCTTTGATAAAATGTTACCAAGGTCAGAATCAGACAACCTTAAGGAGCAGAATAAGCACAAAGGTAAAGAAGAAAAGCATCATTCTTCAAAACATCATTGTTCCAAGCACACGGACAAATGCAAAGATGACAGCAGTTTGAGCTCAGAAATCGAAAAAGCCGCTGACACTAAATCAGTTTCCACATCCAAGTCTTCAGATTTACATAAACGAACCCAGTCAATTGACAAAACCTCAAAAGATTCCTCATCAAAGTTTTCAGATTTTCATAAACGAACAACATCAGAGGACAGAACCTCTAAACATTCTGTATCCAAGTCAGAAGATCTACATAAACAAACCAAGTCAGAGGATAAAACCTCTAAAGAATCGGTTTCCAGGGCATCAGATGCATCTCTCAGTTTGAAAAAGAAATCATCAAACGTATTAACCCCAGAAAACTGCTCAGTAGAACATGGTCATAAACGGACAGCAGCTGGAAATATATCAAGTTCTATGTGCAAGCCTTCAGAATTGCATAAACGAACCAAGTCAGATGACAAAACCTCAAAGGTTTCCACATCCATGTCTTCAGATTTACATAATCGAACCAAGTCAGATGACAAAACCTCTAAAAATTCGACTTCCAAGTCTACAGATCTACATAAACGAACCAAGTCGGAGGACAAAATCTCTAAAAATTCCACATCAAAATCTTCAGACTTACACAAGACCTCAACAAATTCCTCATCCAAGCCTGCAGATCTACATAAACGAACCAAGTCAGAGGACAAAACCTCTAAAGGTTCGGCATCCAAATCTTCAGATTTACATCAACGAACCCAGTCAGATGACAAAACCTCTGGAGATTCCACATCCAAATCTGCAGATCTACATAAACGAACCAAGTCACAGACCACGAAATGTTCCGCATCCAAATCTTCAAATTTACATAATCGAACCAAGTCAGATGACAAAACCTCTGAAGATTCCACAAACAAGTCTGCAGATCTACATAAACGAACCAAATCAGAGGACAAAAACTCTCAAAATTCTGTATCCAAATCTTCAGATTTGCATGAACGAACAAAGTCAGATGACAAACCTGATGCCAAAAGTTCAAAATCTCACAAGAAGAGAAATTCTGAACATAGTGCAGAAACAGAATGTCAAACCAAAAAATCAAAGCTGCCGAAGAACTCACAGTCATCTACTTATGACCCTATTATCAAAACCAGTAAACATTTATCTACAGAAAAAACAAAAGATAAGACTAACAAACGATCAAAATCTGATGCTCTATTGCATTTAGAAAAGAGTAAAGTTGAACCTAAGACTGCTGTTGAAAAAACTAAAAGTAGACATCAGAGTGAGAATATGCAGGATTTGCCGAATAGTGACAGTAAGTTCACAAATTATACGCTCCCATTTTCATTTGCTCTCCAATAACTAAAGTAAGACTGTCCACAATAAAACCATGAAGTCATCAATGGCAATCAAAAGGGGCATACATTGTACCTGGAAAATTAAATATGGCCACTACACTGTGCAAAAGAATCTTAACACAAAAAATTACCCTAATATCATCTACTGATGATTAATGATTATATCCAATTGTTGATTTTTCAGAAAGTTCTATTCAGGCATGGAAAAATACTTTCAAAAGTATAACAGACTTCACAGATTCAGCTACCTTCACGATACCCAAGAATTCAGCCTCAACAGAAAAAGAACCCCCATGTCAAAAGCTGACTATATCAAACCAAAAGAGTGACAACAACAATCCAGACCTTTCAAGTAGGAAACAAATAAATGAGAAAACAACATTGGCACCAAGTTCAAAGCCTGCTGTTACCAGTAAAACCATTGGTGATAATCTTTCAGAACAATTCAAATCAACAGACAATATTGCTGAAAGATTGATGAAACTTTCATCAACTGAATTTCCCCAAACTGATGATAATAAGGTAACATTAATTAATTTGTTTCCCTTCATGGATAGGGCTGTGGAAGGCATATTATTATTATTATTGTGCTTGTTATCAGCTAGGTTTTTCAAATTTATTTCGGTTACTTCTTTCAGTTAGCTAATCTGTAGCCCTCATATTTCGATGCCTTATCTTATAATCTTTTCTTTCTTTCTTCAGTCAACAGACGGTCTTGGTAAATCACTTAGTCAAAGCACAGAGAACAGAAAAGCTCGGCAATTTCACCCCTATACCTCACCTAAGAAGAAAAAGAAAAAACAGTGGGCTTCCTTCAATTTAGCTGTCAGGTATTTGTTGGGCTTATTTCATTTATGTATGCTTTTGTGTAACTTCCATCAAACATGTATTGTGATCCTATTCTGAAACCATGTATATTTTCGTAATTCCTGCATCATTAATTCATTGGCAGTACAAATATCTCCACATAAACATTTTAATGGATTACTTGCTTTAAAACTTTATTACTTGTTTAATTTATTATCAATTCAGTGATCTGAAGGAACTAATGATGGATTTAACCACAACTTCTTACCAAAGAAACAGCAACCAACATACCCCTCAGGTTCCAAAGCGATTCTTGAACTATTACTTCCAGAGAGCAGAGGTCCCTTCAATGGATGACCACGAAGACCTGTAAGTTTCCTGTCATAATTATGTGTTTGATGTTTTTTGTTTTGTGTAATGCTTCTTTATAGTTAAACAAATGACGGAAAGTAAAACAAATTGCTGAAACTGTAATATTTTAAATAAATTTAAACTTCAGAAATTAAAGGAGCTAAATCGCTAATATTTGGGACTTAGAAATTGACACAAATGGGTCTCCCAAACCCAAACGATCGTAACAGCTGCTTTGGTTTCGCCCAACACGTGATGAAAGCATTGTTGTCTTCCACTCAGTCGAAATTACAAGTAAATAGTCAAATTTCTCAAGAGAGAACTTTTTTATTCGTTGGGATATTAAGTTGTGCAATGAATTTTATTTAACTGGAGTTGATTTCAAACACACAGGTAAGTTTATAATAACCAAAGTTAAGTAGTTTGTTCATAATCGAAGAAATCTGTTTAAAATTTACGATGGTTCAGACAGTAGCTACTTTGATTTCTATTTTAACATTCTGAACAAGCAATTATTTTATTCTGTGATATATGATACCAGAAAATTGATTTTATTCTTCTAAAAGCCAAGATGGTCTAGTGGATTAAAGTAAAAGTTTTAGATCATCAGGTCTGCCATTGTTTCAATTGACATGGTTTATATACCAGTACTATCTGCAAAAATCACTACACTGTATTAGATTAAATCAATGGACACTTTTTGACATAGTACTTAAGTTTTATAGTTTAATTTAGTATTCTTGTATTGTAAAATGCATTTTCAAAAAAGCATACCCTTGAATGAGAAAACACAAGTTTGAAGGGTAATGAATAGCGTCCAATCGTACCAAAAAATGGCCGAAAGCACATAAACCTTTTTTTTATACGCCCACATTGAAATGTGGTCGTATATTGTTGTCACCCCCATCCGTCCGTCGGTCTGGCGTCCACAATTGTTTGTGGACGCTGTATAGGCTAAATTTAATATCTGATTGACTTTAAATTTATACACAGTGTTTAAGGTCTTGAGACGAACAAGTATGTTGATTTTCAATGAATCTTTATGACTTGAACAGCTAAATCCATGATGTTAAAAGTTTTGTATACTAAACGTTAGCATGGGGCAGAACTTTATAAAAAACAAACAAATACTAATGGTTTTCTGATAATTACTTAATGAGTTGTTACTCTTAATCAGATTTTAATGTATTATAAATGTTTCATTACCTGGCAACCTATCTTTATGCATTTTTGTGCCTTCTTCATGTGTAAATATTCTTAATTTAAAGTAGCTAAGTCTAACTCAATATCATACAAATCTTCGACATTGAGAACACGATTTATTTGTCGGTTTAAATCAACATTGATGTTGTGATCTTACCGGGAAAAGATGGCCTTCTGATATCCAATATTTAAGACAAAATAAACATTTAACAATTGCTACACGAATCGTGTACCATAATGCGTTTCAGCACTATTTGTAATAAGGGAATCTAAAAACGGGGCTAGGCGTATTCCACAAGTCATGTCAAACAGTGACGCTATATTCTTATCTGGACAGTATTCGATTGAGAATACTGGCGTATGTCGCCGACCCTAAGTGATTAGAAATTACAGTAAAAACAGAAACGATTGAATGTAAATCAATTTATATACATTCATATTACATTATTGTATGTGTTGTGACCCATTTGTGTCAATTTCTAGGTCCCAAATATTAGCAACTTAGCTCCTTTAAATAAAATATCATAATTAATATATTGGAAATTAAAATTGTAATAAACAGCATAGACCAATATTTTTAGCCATAGATAGATCTGTGTTTGAACCAGCTCATTAAATTTTGTTTGTAAATATGGTACTGTATTTCTGTTAAAATTTTAAACAATATTGACTAGAATGTGTCAAATGATTACTCAGAGAATATTTCCAACTTTTTATGCATGTCTATTTACATTTAACCCTTAACCGGTCGACGTCATTTTGACGTTATGACGTCAAGTGGTCAGGCTAAATAAAGGGTGACGTGAAATATTTTGTATGCCTATTTCAATCGACTACTGCAGATTAATTATAAGTGATAGACTCTCGACACCAATAAAAAAGTTGCTGGGGATAAGTTGATCTATAATTGACAAATCATTCCAAATCCTTCTCATCCGAAATATCGTCTTCAGAATAGGTGTCATTGATATAATCCGATTCGGAATAATTCATAAGTATTTCAACCACTTCGAGCGTCTTTAACATTCCCGATACCGTTAAATTACGTTTTTCGTCAAAAAAATGTTGAACAAAGACATGTTTTTCTCGATGCCCTTGACAAGACAAGTTCCTTTCTGACACGCATGCGTGGCCATATCAATTAAATCTGAAACTAAATACTCAAATGCGGCTTATAAAAAAGGTTCTTGCTGTGGTCGACTTTAGTCGACCGTGACCACTTAGCTGTATAATGTTGTGATGACTATAGTCGACAATGACCGGTTAAGGGTTAAAAGGTGATAACTGAAATTATTGATGTTATTAAATACTGCTATATAGTGATTATATCGCAATATTTTCTGAAAATTACGCGATATCTGTTTCCAGAGATATCACCCAACTCTAGTTTTAATAATTATTTTAGGACTGACATGGTAACAGCAGAAGATATATTGGACTATGAAGAGAGGATCAGAATGGCAGATGAGATGGAAGCACATTTTGCAGATGATGATAATCATATTCTGAATGATGATTTAATTTTTGAACAAGAGAATGAAATATATTCAGTGAGTTATTATTTAAGATTATCATTAGGACTTCATTATAATGCAGCTGTTCTTTGACTATTACTTTCTTGATATTAAGATCTTTAAATGTTCAATCTGATTAAAATACAGATCTATATTTCGTTCCGTGTTTTTTTTTAATACTTGTAATGGCCTACACTTACATGAAGATCTGACAAGTTATAGTGGGAGTTCACCTCAGGGGTCAAACAAGCGGCTTTTTACCCTATGACATCAGACATTGATTAATCAATCAGCATTGGCGTTTATAGTGGTTTACACACAGTTCCCTGCATTAAAAGGTCAAGAACTCGCCGTAACAGACCGATTCATTTGCTAATGCCTCACATCATTCAGAACACATCAGTGATAACAAATCTTCCAGATCCTAGTGTAGAAAAGACAAGTCAAACGAAATTTTGAACTATACAAACGAAACGAAATAGGATCTGTGTTTTAATCAGATTGATGTTGGGTGAACCGTGCTTCAATATTTTGAGGTGTTAGCATGTGCTTTATATCATAAGGTCATCTGTTTCTGATTCAAGTGTTGTGGTTTTGAGTAGAACAATGGGTAGGATCGCCTGACTAACCCCCAGATTTTGTCAAGGTTCTCCAGTTTCATCCTACTGGTAAAAATCTGAATTACTGAAATAATGGTATATCATGTTAATCCTTAAATAACCTGAAGTGGATGATAAACTCATCTCCATTTTGCTGTTGTCAATATAAACAGTTTGTTTTTGGAAAAAGAAAAAAATTATAAAAGATTGGGATTTTTCTTTGAAATTTGTTTGTTCATATATCAAGAAATCAAATTGTATTATGTATGAAAATGATTAGCTAAATACCATAAAAGTAAGAATTAAACATTTTTCTGTACTAGTTTATTTGTTCTTTACAAAGGTTGTTGATCAAGAAATGCCTCAAATGGTCGAAGATGACATAGAGGACTTTTATAGTTTGCGGAATCCAGAATTTCCAGTAGAATATGCTGCGAATGCGAGCAACCTTGTACATGTACCAATAACTAAGTTTGTAGCACATCCAGATAAAGGCATTGTTGATGATATACAAAAGGACATTCCCACTACAGCTACTCCGCCTTGTAGTGAAGCAAAGTTACCAATCGATGATAGTAACTTCCAAACACCTATTCTGAATAGTTCAACTCCATTGACAAACAAAACTGGGGTAAAGAAAGATAATAAGGCAGTTCCTAAGAAAACTAAAATCAGCCCCATTGTGTTTGATAGTTCTGAGGCCGACTCCAAGACATCTAAAATTTCAACTGATGCGTTTAAAGAAAAATTAAAAAAAGATGGGACTTCAAAGAAATTGCAATTTGAACAAAAATCAGAAACTGTAAAGAAAGATATTACAAATTCAGATACTTCAGCAAAAGGAAAGAAAGATGAAATTACTAAGACACCCAAAATAAGCCCAATTCTTTTTCATGCTAACAATAATAAATCGATAGAATCTAAAGAAAGTCAAGACGAACAGAGCAAAGCTGGTAAGAACTTTATCCAGCCAACTCCACAGTCCAAAGATTATTTAGAGAATATTCAAGCCAAAGATGGAGAGAAGACAAATACAGCTCAAGAGGCTCCCAAGAAGCCTAAATTCAGTCCAATCATCTTTAAATTAAAGACAAACAAGACACAAGCAATTGAAAAACTGCCTCCATGTTTTAAGCTTACAGATGCATTTAATTCAAGAGAGACTTTGATATGCGAGAGCAATAGTGAAGCAGTATCTGATGGCCAAAACTCTGTGAAACGTGATGCTGACAATACCTCAACCAATTTTAATAACCCCACACCAATAGCAGATCCACTCGTACATTCCACACTTGCAACGCTTTGTTCTTCTACAAGCCTTCAAGCAAAGATATCTGGAACTGAAAGTAATTTGATTAAAGAAGGAAAGGAATCTAAAGAAACAAATATGCATGATTTCAACACTCATGTACCTACTGTTTCACCATTATTTGATAGAAATTCCAAGAGGTTCAAAACAGATGCATCAGATGATTCTCAAGGTCCAATTGAAGGAATCTCAAAAACCAAAACTTTTTCTAAACAAGATTCAACACCAATAACTGTCCAGAAATCGAGTCTGTCTTTCTTATCAAATTCATTATTACGAGATGATGTTCATTCTTCTAAAATACTGGAAAATTGTGACCAGAATAAGGATATGGTAAAGTATGCTGACAAGCCAGAAAGCCTCCCCAGTTTAAGTTTTACCAACTTCTTAGAAGCCCGAAAGTGTAATTCAAGTATGAACATACCTACGGGAAGATCCATTCATTCAGGAGACAAAGTAATAATAAAGAATTTTCTTGGGCCACAGACTCTTACATCAAGCGAAATTTCTAAACCAAAAAGTGATGTTGTTGAAGATGTTGATACCATGAGACATTTACTGAATCAAGATTTAAAACCAGCTAAAACAGAAACAATATTCCCAAAGTTAATACCTATTCAGATTCCTAAAGCATGCAGAATTCCTAAACTTAAACATATTTCAGAAGATAATCCAATGGTATCTCATCCAAGCCCCATAAATCCAGTTACCAGTAATTCAGGTGTTGCTTCAATTTCATCTTCTACTGATGCAGAAAACCATTCAACTGATATCTCTAATATAAATGAATTGAGTTCAACTACAAGTTCTAGCATCAGCAATGAAAGCACTCCAGTCAAGGATGAAAATACCAATTTAGACCATAGTCCTAAACATTGTGATCAGAGTACATCTAGTACACCTGTGAAGGATGAAAAAAATAATTTACAAACAAATAGTACGAGTGGAAAAATAATGTCAAAGAGCCCAGAAACACCTTTGAAAGATGAACACACCAGTTCAGATCTTGAAGCTGGAGGAAAAGATAGTTCTAAAGATGCAGAACATAAACAGAAGACGCCAAATGATAACATACTAGAAGAACAGAAACCTGGGGATGATGTCCATGAGGTAATGAGACAAATGTGGAAATCAGTAACTACAGTATTGAAAGAAGTGAAGCCTATTGATCCAAGGAAACCTCGGCCAGCTTCAAAATTGACTTTACCTCTAATCAAAGATAATATGAAAGATTCTCCCAATCCTGATGTAAATGTAACTCCACAAAAGTCCAGTAAAGCAATGTTACCTAAAAATTTAAAAGGTAAAGTTTGATTTATTATAGAATTGCTAATACTTTTACATCAACTAAGAACAAATTTACTTTATGCTTACAGGTTTGAAGTCATTGCTATTACATAAACATTTGATAGTGTAATTTGATTTTTATAGAATATTTATCTTGGTTGTCAGGTTCTGGTAAAAAGAAACCTTGTCACACATCTGCTGGGCTACATCCAAAACGGAACGAATTTTGGCACCACAAAGTTTCGAAAATAATATTTGTTGTGAGAAGTGTTGGTAAGTACTTGTAAAAATGAATTTGTTCTCCAAGAATATTAAGTTGCTTTACAATTCAATATGCCATGTACCTTGGCAACTCTTTTTAAATGTAATTTATTTGTTTTATGTTTAAAAATTGTTTTTAAACAAGTCCAATGTTATAATAGATGAAAATCTTTTGTTTTCAGAATACATAACTAATCCAGATTTAAACAACTACAAATTACTGCATGCTGAACATTTGTCAAATGATCCAAGAAAAGAAATAAAGGATCCCAATAAAAGAGTTTGTCCTCATACTGGTCTTGTGTTGCGAACCAAGAATGTGAAGCAGCATCAAAGCAAGTCTCCTAAACATTTGCCTGGTGGTAAAGCTATTAACGAGACGTCAAAAGTATCAGACAGGTCTATGGACTTTCAAAAGGAAAAGGGCAATTCAAGTCGAGAACCACATAAAGAAACCCCAAAGTTTTCTCCGAGTTTAAAAACGATGTCTGAAGTTAATGTTTCTGATAAGGAAACAGCTGAGAAAAGAAACAAGGAGGCTGTCAATCAGAAAAAAGGAGAAGGAAAGGTAATTGTATCTGGAATCAAGCGGAAAGCAGAAGATAGACCGATACACTTTTCAAAAGTGGAAAAAATAAGTAAAACTGACATTACTGATCAAGGTGTTGATGAACTAAGAAATGAATTATTAGATTATGCGCTCTCTTCAGACAAAAGTACTGTTGCATCCCAGGCAAAAGAAAAAGTTAATAAAACACTCACACCCTTTCACCATGTGAAAAAAGATATACTGGTATTGCCGCCAGAAAATAGCATGTATAAAGATGAGAGAAACTCCAAAATGAGCCACCAAGAATCCTTCAGTGCGGAGATAAAAACCAATACTGCAGAGAACTTAATATTATCAGAGGTTAAATCCCCAATTAATGAGGAGACCAAGACAATAGAATCCAAGCCTTCTGAGTCAAAATTATCAGATAAAGAACAGGTATTACAAGCTAAACCTGCAGATATGGAGAGGCGCCCAAACAATGATATAATTAACAATAATTCAATTAAAAACAGTTGTGGCATGGGTACATCCACTTTCAAAATTCTTGAATTAAAAACCTTACAAATTAATGAGAAAAATGTTCGATTATCAGTTGACCAAGTAGGGGCAGTCAGTAATAAAAAAGATCTACCTAAGCCATCAATGAAAGACCATGCCCCAAGAGAAGATAATATTAAAGACAAAAATACTGCTAATGTGAGACTATCCTCTAACGAGCATAAAAATTCAACTTACCGGAAAGATGAAAAAAACACTCTATTACCAAAACCAGAAAATGTAAGACCATCCTCTAAAGATGATCATAAAAATTCATCTTCCCCAAAAGATGAAAAAACTGTTGAATTACCAAAACATTCCAATACTTGTAAATCAGTAAGTACTGTTGTTACCAAGGATAAACTACCAGAGAATTCCAAATCAAATGCATCCAATCCAAAACAACAAAAAATCAAAGAGCCCTCTCAAAGTAAGCATTCAAGGAAAGATTCAAAAGAAGAAAGAAAAATCAAAGAGCCTTCAAAAAAGAAACAGTTCGGAAATGATTCAACAATGAATACTGGACGAGAACATAGTGCTAGCATGTCAACCCAGGTTGTAGGAAACAAGTCCTTGAATAGTCCAATAAACGAAGCGGTTAAATCAAAGAGAAACGAAACACGAACAGAGTCAAAATCAAAAATCAACAAACCTGGTCAAACAGATAAATCAAAAGTCGAAGTTTCAAAACCAAACTCATCTTCACACAAATCTACACATCACCTACAGCAATCTTCAACAGATATTAATAAAACAAAGTGTTCAGATGGTAAAATAATCAAGTCTGTGAAAAAAGAAAAAAGTGTCAAATCAGTTAATAATGGTTCTAGCAGAACTTCTGTTTATATACCAGGGAAGGGGATTACAAAATCAAAACCATTTAATAAGTCAGAGGACAACAAATCTAGAAAATTAAACCATAATGACGGTCCAAACATTGAGGATTCCGCCAAAGATTCAGTGAAGATGAGCAACAGAAGTAAACCTAAAAAATCAAAGGATCAGGTTGAGAGTTGTTCTAGAACTTCAGGAAGGATTAAATACAAGTCAAAGGAAAACAGCAAGAAACATTCCCCGGTAGATTCTATAATAAATAAATCTGAAAAATTGTCAAAGAGCCCTAAAGACAAATCAACAAAATTGCCACTGGTATCTCAAAAAAATAATGAACTTACTAGAGATTTTGCTAAAGAAAAAAATCTGAATGAACAAACCATTAAAAAACCAACAGCAATTGTTACACCAAGTATTAAAGACGTAGTCCATCTCTCTAAAACAAAAGAAAAAAATGAAAGTATGGATACATCGACCTCAAGTTTAGAAGATGGAGAAATAAAGGAAAGTGAGGACAATAGTGATGTTATTTTCGTTGGTCAGTGGAATTTATATGAATCTGTATCAAAGGTGAGGAAAGCTAAAAGACTGCTTAAGAAGAAGAGGAAGAGAAAAAAAGAACATGTAAAGACCACCAAATGTCACAAACCAGATGGTAAAGTGGATACGGCTTGTATTAACCAAGAACAAACCATGAAAAAGAAGGAGCGGGCAGTCACACCTATTAAAGATGCTCACCAAACCAGCACTCCAAATGAAAAATCACAGAAAAAGTCACCATTGGGGAAGAGTTTTGAAAAGGTCGTAAAAGATATAAGGGAAGCGGATAGTACATCTTCTTGGACTGAATCCAAATCAGACCAGCAGGATAATCATGATGTGGAAAGAAAACTACATTTGGCAAGAAAAATTGAACATCAAGACAACTCTGAGATTGATCACAAGAGACGAAAGGTGGACAATGTATGGGATCAGTTAAGGCTAATGGAGGACGTGCAAATACCAAGCCATACTACAGATACACCATCAGGAAAAATCCCTAAATTTGACGCCATCTTTGATTTACTTGACAGTGAAGATCAGGGGAACGAAAATGAATCTCTCTTACCGCTCCCTTCTTGTGATCTGCCTCCCCTTCCAGTTTCACGGTCGGAAGATGTTTTACATCAAGAGGGTCCAAAAGACAGCCATTTAAGTCTAAATGAAAATGAAACGTTCTTGAACAATGCAGCACACATTAACAATTTGATTATAAACGAGCAAAGCAATTTTGTTACAGCATGCCCCAGACCACAGCTAGTACCTCTAATACCACCACAAAGCATGCATCACACACATCAACCAGAGTACTTCCTACATGGTCACCCAATACGACCTCAGAGATATCAAGTATATCAACCTCTCCCATTGCCATTGATTACCCAACATTATCCTCTACATCATTTGAATAGTGGAATACCAATAAGTAGTTTACCAAATATGGACCCGACTACCCAATGTTTTACAGATTCTATGACGCCACTGTTCAAAAGCTATCACAGTGTAATGACCAACCTGCCACCATTAAATCTGAGCCCACCCATACCAACATTTCCATTTCAACTCAATCATATAAGGATACCAAATCAAAGAGAAACAATGTTTGATCACCAGCAATTTCCATTGCCACCTTTGCCTCCACTGCCAAGTGGATTTAACAGTTGCGAAAATTCTAGCTCTTCTTCTCTATCTTCAGTACATAAAGTCATGTCTCAACCAGTTAGCCAAGGTTCAAGTCCAATACCATCATTAATACATATAAACCCATTTGAATCACAACAAGCACAGTCTCCTATGAACAAAAGTACTTTCAGAGAGGACCACGTAACATCCATTATGGATATTGATACGAGTAAAACTGATTTGGAACCGAAATTTATAGGACCTGTCTTACCAGAAGGTCATAGGTTGCTAGATCGGGAGCAGGGTAACAATACTGTTTCTAATTGTAGTCCTTGTCCACCAGATTTAGTTTATAATTCTCCTGAAGATATGAGATTTTCTACTGACGAAAATCAATCACCAGATACCGGAACTCCATCACTAATACCCTCAAGCAGGTTAAAGCCAGCTTTGCTTGAATTGGAGTTATCTTTAGATTGCCCCACTAGTCAGGATTTAATGGACCATCAGACAAGGGCAAAAGAGTCTCTAATTGCCATGGATGATAACTTTTTCCTATATAGAAGTATTAGTAAGTTGTATTTATTATTTTATTCATTTAAGACCTCTTTTTTTCCACTGATATCCCACAGTGATGTATATACTGTCATGGTGGCTTTGGAGTTGGGACTTCTTGTAGATGGTCATCTGCGTGGGTAGTACTATTTTTGAGTACCAGCTTTAGTCCACTGCTACATATTTTGAGTTGTCCTCATAGATTGATCTTTGAGACTGTTGTAAATGGAAATTAGCATCGTCTTTAACCCTTTCACTGCGTATACCCGGTAGTACCGGGTATTATTAAATGTCGGTAAAATGCCCGTACCCGGTATTACCATGTACTCAGTAAAGCCCTCGCTAAAATTAGTACCGTAACTGCAAGTGCCATCTATTGTATTTTCTATACACTAGAACATATTTCCACGTGTTTCAAAGCAGCAAACCGTAAAATGGCGGAGTGCATTGTGACAACGTAGACGATGCACTCTCGACGAAGTCGTGAATGACGTCTTGCTGACCAACATGTGGACAATTTCGAGGCGGGTGATACACATAATTCGGTTCCAGTTACTTGATAATGATAGTAGTCAGGACAGTGATTGGTATTATGAAGTGTGTGATTTGTTGCGCGACGTTCCGCCCATGGCTAGCTATGTCTCCCGTGCATGATGAACAAGCCCAATGTGAACACGATAGCCCTGTGTCTGCAGTAGATTCTGACAATAATTCTGATGTTGATAATAATGCTGGCCTGCTGGATCGTAAAATACGTAGGTAATTCCTGATTCCCGAACGTGTAGATCTATTGACTGACTATATTGATAATGATATGGGACTTGGGGATGAGAGTGAAAGTGAAAGTAAAAACAAGGTATTGCAATCCGCACGTGGTCATGGCAGCGGGAGACGTGATGCGCGTGTTCGCGGCGGCATTGCTCATGGCTGCTATTGATATTTTTGTTCATTTTATATATCTTTATCAAAATCCAGTAAAAAAAACAATATCTTTTAAGTATTTCATGGAGAAAAATTCGTTTTCGTGTTAGCTTTAGTGTGAAATGAGAAATCCAAAATGGCCGCCATGACGTCACGTGACTACATTATTATGCAAATTTCCAAAATTCTATTTTTTCCTCTTAGCCCAACCTCATGCCCATCCCAACAGACAAAAAGATTTTTCATAAAAGCTTCCATAAGTACTGCTTGGCATTCAGTTCCAACCTCCCTTTTTTCCTCAAAAAAGGGTCTAGCACAGGCAGTGGATTTACGTCTAGCATTGAAAGGGTTAAGACTGCTCTAAAAGATACTCTCGTGTTTCTAGTAATTCAATTCAATAGAGTATTTCATCAAAGATTCTTCCAAGAAAATACTGGTAGATATACTAATATGTTGGTCATCCAATTTCGTAATATTGCACCTTGTGTCAAGTACCCAGTTCCAGTCTTCTTCTATTTTGTTAGTAAATAATTGGCTAGACCTTGCCTTTATATTATCTTATGCCCATACATGTTTAATTGGAACCAGGCCGGAAAGGCTAAGATATATGTCTTCGAAAAGTTCTGCTGAAATGAACTCCTGCAATAAGTAGAAATTTCATCCACAAAATTGGTATGAGTACGATTCATCAGACAATTATCGCATTGGTTGTATTTGATAGGTGCAACTAAAGATAAGTGGCCATTTTTAGAGAGGATAATGTTATGCTGGTATGCACCTCAGGATTTGTGTTTCTGGTGGATCAGCAGGCCAAGAAATAATGGTTTTAGTTGTGCCCGACAAAATATCAAGCATTAGTGATCTAGTATCTGACATATCAATAAAGAAATCAGTACCAGAGGTTTGTGCCTGACATTGTCAGTGACAGGTGCCTTATTTCCAAGCTTGTTGATATGACTAAGAAGTTATGTTTTTACCGGTAGTCATGAACTGCTACAATCATTTATAACTATGTCACGTTTTGTCTTTTACAGTACTAATTGGTAAAGTTTTGGCACACCTTTCTTCAGCACGAAAATGGAAATTGATGATTCATCAAAGGGTGTTCTCCCAGATATCACAAAAGTAAGTCTGGTATTTATTACAATATTAAAGTAATAACACTCTAATTCAGGTTATTGCTAAATATAAGAGAGATTGAATGAAACAATATAAGAGAGATTGGGTGAAACAATATAAGAGAAATTGGATGAAACAATATAAGAGAGATTGGGTGAAACAATATAAGAGAAATTGGATGAAACAATATAAGAGAGATTGGGTGAAACAATATAAGAGAAATTGGCTGAAACAATATAAGAGAAATTGGCTGAAACAATATAAGAGAGATTGGGTGAAACAATATAAGAGAGATTGGGTGAAACAATATAAGAGAGATTGGGTGAAACAATATAAGAGAGATTGGGTGAAACAATATAAGAGAGATTGGGTGAAACAATATAAGTTTTAAGAGAGATTAGGTGAAACAATATAAGAGAAATTGTGTGAAACAATGTCTAAGTGAGATTGGGTGAAACAATATAAGTTATAAGAGAGATTAGGTGAAACAATATATCAGAAATTGGGTGAAACAATATATGAGAGAGATTGGGTGAAACAATATAAGATAGATTAGGTGAAACACCGCTATGGACCCGAAGTCCGCCAATTGTAAGTGAGGAAAAGTAGGTTTAACTGCCTTATACCTGTAACCTTGTCTGCACCTTCTTTTAAATGTGACCCAATGGTTATCATTTCAAATTATTTCTTGTTAACATTTGCTTGAAATTTAACACTAATCTATTTCCCAGAACAACTGGAGGCCTTCATCATCCAGAAACTCTTGAAGCTATCAAGAGATTGGATCTGATTACTAATTATAAAGATGTTGGCTTGATAGAGTTTATCACTAATTGTACGTGTGATAAAAACACCTCGTATCTGGGAGAAAATGTTAGTTGTATTCAACAACTGATGAAAGATGTTTATCCCAACATCTCATCAGCTGTTATACTCACAGGTAAGTCAAGTTTTCATATTCTAATAAATCATATATTAGATGTTCTCGGTGCTGTCATTAGACCAACTGGCCTTGAGTTCACAAAACATTCTCAGACTTAAGTTAAGAATTTACTCAACTTTCAATCACTATTTATGAGAAATATCTTTGGTCCAGAAACACAAAACTTTAAACATAGTTTGTTATTGATGTATTTGATACATTAAAACAACAACATTTTATAAAGGGTAATATCTTAATCCTTGTAAGACATATAGAGGTAAATTTCACAAATTAAAAACACTTATATAGATATACTACTTCTGAATTTATTAACATGCTACATTTCGATACACATACAGATATCGTTATCAAGCAAATAATGATATATAACAAAAATGTGGTGCAATATATAGTTAACAAATTGGAAACCATGTAACAGATTAATCATTAATTAAGAATAAATAAGATGAGAGAAGTAATAATATGGATAAACAATTACAAAGGGATTAACAAGATGAAAGACTTTAATGTATTGATAACAATTAGAAATATTAGCAGATCGAACTAATAATTATAAGAGATTAACTATATGAGAGATAGGAATATATAGATAACAATTAATACACTAAATAGCAGGTGAAACCATAACTACAAGATGAGGGGGTTAACCACACAGGCAAGAAATCGAAAACTAGGGGAAGGAAACCATAATGTATTGATAACATTTAGAAATTAGCAGATAAAACTAATAATTATACGAGATTATTGGGATAACAGAGCGCAATATATAGATACATGCAACAAATAAACACTAATATAGCAGGTGAAACCATAATTACGAGATGAAAATGGTTAACCGTACAGGCAAGAAATTGAAAACTTCACATTAATAGGAATTAAATAAATCGACCCAAAGATTTGGGAGAAAATGTCCTGAGTCCCTATTTAATTTAGGCTTATGTTTTTGAATTTCTAGCGCTTCTCGTAGAATTCTATTTTTCCAAGTTGGTAAATTTTTAGCTTATTTATTCTTAATTAATGATTAATCTGTTACATGGTTTCCAATTTGTTAACTATATATTGCACCACATTTTTGTTATATATCATTATTTGCTTGATAACGATATCTGTATGTGTATCGAAACGTAGCATGTTAATAAATTCAGAAGTAGTATATCCATATAAGTGTTTTTAATAGGTTATATCTTAGTTAAAATAAGATGAACAATTTTGAGTAAATTCTCAACCTAAGTCTGAGAATACTTTGTGAACTTGGGACCTGACCTTTACAAGGAAATGGGGAATTAAGAATATCTTAAGTGTCTTCAATACTCCTACTGCACAAATTGTTTCTTTTGATTTAACGTTCCATAGAAAAGGGAATTTTCATATTCTAATGAATCAGATATTAGATGTGGTCGGTGCTGTTGTTTGACCAATTGATGTTTATAGGAAATTAAGAATTTCTTAATGTGTTCAACTCATACTTCACAAATTGTTTCATTTGGTTTCATAGAAAATGGAATCGCAAAAGAAAACCCAAGAGTCTGGGTGGTGGGGTTTAAACAAATGGCCTCGAAAGGAAATTAAGAATATCTTAGTATTTTCAATACCCATACTGCACACTCTGTTTCTTTTGATCCATAGACAAGGGAATTGAAAAAGAAAAACCCACCTTCTTGGAGACACTATACCAGGGTAGAGTTGATTGAAGCACATATCTTGGGGCTTTACTAAGATTAAAGAACTTCAGATCTCTTCGATTTCATTATAGTCTGTGTACTTTTAAAAAATGTACCTAATGAATGCCAACTTTTTTTTTGTAAGCCAGAATTTGAATATAACCATATCCTGAGTGGATTGAATTAGTCCTTTGCTTCATAACTTTTCTTCTAAATATTGGTACATAGTGCCATCTATTTTGTTTTGTGTCTTTGTGGCATTTTGCCATAACTTTTACATTTTGTTGTGTTTTATATTTTTGTTGGGTAGAAAGTCCAACATTGTCTATTGAAAAGGGTGTTGGGATAACTAGAACCCCATGACTGACGATTCAGTATTCTTCCTTTACCGAATAATGATTGATATTTATTTTTGTTTTCAGCCTATACAGATGAACCACAACATGTATCTGATGGGGTTATTATATCTAATATTGATAGATTTCTGGGGAAAATGTTATAGAAGCTCAGTTTAAACACACATTTAAAGAAATAGAGTTAACTAGATTAAATAGATCTTCCGTTTTTATTTTCAATTTATGTTGTTTATGCCAAAATTCGTCAATGTAAAGGAAATAAAGTTATGAGATTAATTCGATTGAATTAGAATATAGAGATTGTGGGTTTGGTAACTTTGGTTATCGTTGACTGTCTGTATAATACATATTAGATTTAGTAAGATGTTTTGTAGAATGTTTTAATTTATCCAAATGTTTTATAAAACAAGATTAATACCACATTTTTCAGTCACATTTAGTATATATCAAAATTACTTACAGAGATAGTATCAATTTTTTCATAAAGTATGGATTTACTAAAGCCTAAACTAATGAGACTAAAGATAAGTTGGGTTCAAACTAGACTAGTCAAAGACTTCCCATTTTCTCTGAACAAATGTTACAAAACAAGATAGGATAACATCTTCTTATAGTAGAAGTATGTTGTATCACATATTATGTCCTTGGACCTCGATTGTGTTCAAAAGTTTTAAGAAACTTACAAGAATGTTTATTGATTGCTCTGACAGCAGAAACGGTCAATAGTGACAGTACCTTATTCGACGTAATAACCGGCCAGATGTTTTTACACAATGAAATCGAATCAAAACATTCAGAAGTGTTTTGCTTGTGTGGCAGACGTATGGCTTATATTGGGTTAGTTTCCTGGGGAGATTAGGTACCGAAATATTGTTTACTTGTTATGAGAGGGTGTGTGCTTATTACGCTTATATTACGCTTATTACCGCGAGTCGGTTATTACGTCAAATACGGTATTGTAATAATTGTGTGATTTAACATCCTTATGAAAAAAGCAGCATAATTCAACTGATATTGTGATATCTTGTAAACCTTAAACTACCCATTCCTACCATCAGTATATCAATATCCAATCTCTTATCAACGACAAAAGTAGAGGTTTGTCCTCATTGTAAATAAGAAAGCCATTCTGTATGTTATAAAAAAGTCAAATGTGTGATTACCGGTTATATGTCTAACTATTGTGCAATTTACTATGCATTATTATGTATTGTTTATCCATTTAATCTTATTACTTGTCCATCTCTGATCTGAAAGTCACTTATTTTTAGTTTTTGTTTTAATTTTTTGTTCTATTACATGTTAATTTTTGGAATTATTGTTCATCAGTGTTACCTTGCCCTTGTGTTATCGATAGCCTCCCTTAGTAAATCGCTATAGCGTCTTGGCCAAAAATACATGACATTTGATTGACTTAGAACTGACTGTTACAATGGATTAGCTGTGCTAGCAGACCAAGCAGACATCAAAGATGATTTTTCATCAGATGAAAGGATACTATTATGCCATAAAAGAAAAACAATTCTTTAATTCATTAATGATCAACTTGCTCCAACTAAAATTTGACATATACTTATAGTCATGATATTATTCTCAGTTGTTCTTGTCAGCTATATTAATTATTAATAATTGTCCTATTAAAATGGGTTCGTCAGTTGTCTGTCCGTCACTTATGGGCACAATAACCCTCCTTCTAATTGAGCTAGTTTTAATTAAGTGAGGGTAATGAAATTTGGTGTATAGTTTCAGCACATCACTACCTTGACTAAGTTCGATAATGAACAATTTCTGCCCAGTGTAAGCAGATCAATAAGTAATTTGATTGGCCGAGACTTTGAAACACAATAGCTCTCCTTCTAATTAAGGTAGAATGTTCAAACTTGGTGTAGGCGTTAATTAGGCAAATGTCTTGATGGAGTTCGATGATGAACATTGTCTGCTTACGGTAAGCAGAGATAAGCAATTTGATTGGTTGATGCTTTTGGACACGATAACTTTGGTTATAACTAAGTGAGAGCTATGAAACTCCGAGCATAGATTCATTATATTATTACCTTGACTAGGTTTGATGAGAATTTTCTGCTTAGGCTAAGGAGCGATTTGATTGGTCAAGACTTTGGAACATAACAACTCTGCTTTTGATTGAGGTAGAATGTTTAAACTTGATGCTGATGTTCATTAGGTGAATGTCTTGACTGAGTTCACTGATTAACATTTACCGCTAAAGCTAAGCAGAGCTAAGCTATTTCTTTGACTTTGATGATAATCAGTTTGATTGCTCGATACTTTTGAAAATGATAAACGTGCAATTAATTAATATGTGTCATCTATTTATTTAGGGATTTCGGCGGGGGACGTCATGTATTTCCGTCGAATATATCATTTACATGTGCAGTTTTCAATATTTTGTGTTTGTTGAAATTACCAACAGTAGTTGAAACGTGACCTGCAAGTGTTACGAAACGTCGTCGTTATTGAATAACAGAGAAATAGTTATATCCATATATACCTTGTGTTGTGTTTTGTTTTAGATATTTCTTGCCATTTCTGAACAATTTTTGTGTATTTGTACGTGTTGTTTTTTTTTTTTAATATTCTAGTCAATAATGTTATTATATACCATATTTGTTATTTTGTTTCCCAAACATTCTCATTCCAACAAATTGGATATAGCCTAGCTAGTAATAATTGGGACACAAGTTAAAATATGTTGTCACGTTTTCTTTTTTATCTTTTGTATATAATTCATATATAGTGCTGATAGTGACTACCAATTTTTTGGCTTATGTTTTATTTTTTTTATGGTTTTGATGCAAGATTATGTTGACGCCTAATTAAGCACTTTGTATCAAACTTATAATGAGAGAAATGAAAATTATTCTTTGATGTTATTGTGTTAATTTATTAGAAGTATTAATATTTTTGTGCAAGGGTGTTTGAATAATATGGCTTATTATTATCCCTTTATGCACGTTATGCTTGTCAAAACCCAAGTGCTCCTTGGATCACAATCCATGACTTTTAAGATCCAGAAGGGCATGTTTTAGTATAGTATATCGTGGAATGCCCCGCTGCTTTGTACAAAAATGAAGAAGCAGTGGGGCAATGTCGATGATGTCAACTGAAAATTAGGAGCTTTTGGTACTTCAAAAATTATGGCCCCCGTGGTGCAGTTAATCTCCCCGTACACGCTAGTGCCCATAAAATTGATCAAAAAACGCCCGGAGATTCAGCACATGTTTGCGTTTATTTTGGCCATTGAACGCAACGCCCATTTTTTGATCCTGATCTACTAAACATTGATGCTGGGGGGGGGGGGGGGGTATAATCTCAAATGTGCCCCAGCTTTAGCCAGTTGGCCAGGCGCTCTCTATATATTGGCCTGGCTTTAACTAGTCGACAAAATGGTTGGAGTATTAATCCGTTCCATTCTACCACGCTTTTCAAAATCATCGGAAATTGCTAATGCTTCCAAATTTAAATATTGGTCAATACCTAATTTAATTTGTCAATGCCCTCACCATATCATAGTCGACCCTCACCATATTATCAGAGTGGCTACATCTAATTTGTCATCGGATTATTACAATATGTCTACTCTATGAAAAAATCACGCAATAGTCAAACATGTTTTGTTTTGTTGGGGTTTTTTTTTGGGGGGGGGGGCATTTTTCATTTCTCTTTAGATTTTTATTCGAGAAAAACTGACACGATTGGTACATCAGTACATCAGAAAGAAAACCACGTAAATAGACAGGAGAGAAAGTTTTATATAAATAATAATATGCATTTGATGATATATGTACACATATTAAACATTTTACTACAATTTACATTGTGGCTTGTTTATTAAAAATGTGAGAACGCAAGCGTAATAGAAGTATTGGGGAAAGATCGTCAACTCCACAAACCCCTGGGGTAGAGACATTTTCATATTATCCGCTCTTGATGATTGTGCTATTTTTATCGACCAATCAAAAAATGTTAAATACATCAAAACGGACATAAAAACATCTTTTAGGACATCTTTTTGTGTGCATGTCACATCTTTTGTATCGAGTTTCTTGCAAACTTTCTCCTCGAGCGAACAAGGCGCCATATTATTGTGAACGTAAACAATGAGGTTTGTAAACTGTTTTTTTGATTGGATGGTACAATTAAGCTCCACCAAGAGCAGATAATTTGAATACATAAATACCCAGGGTAAAGTGGAGTAGAACGCAATGAGACCACTGGGGATACCGAGGATGAGGGACTACCGGAACGCTAACCCAAATTACTACCACTCAAACAAATGGAGACTAGAAGGTCCTGGGTGTCCGAGACTACCAGTTCCAGGTCTGTGGGTTACTTCATTTGAAAGGATTCTGGGGGCGTTCTCAAACGATACTAACGATAGGGACAACCTGAGCGCCGACCCAAATTACTGCATGAACAATGTTAATGGTACGGTTCTATATACGTAAGCCTTGTAATAGTCAAATAGGTGTGAAGCATATAGTAACTCGCGGGACCTGTTTATATAAGCATTGCAATTGGTACATCACGACATTAAACGGGGGTTCTAATATTTTGTGGAAAAGGTTACAAGATACTTGGAATGGAACAATGCAACATTTATAACTTGTGGCACTTTATACGGAATCGAATCACATTTATCTTCAACGACATTTAAACTTCTACATGAATGTAAAAAAAAAAGCAACAGTCGAGATCAAGCCTGAGGTCTGTTGGTAGTGAACACATCCAACGGTCGGGATCAAACCCGAGGTTTGTTGGTAGTGAACACACGCAACAGGCGGGATCAAGCCCGAGGTCTGTTGGTAGTAAACACACCCAAACGTCGGCAAAATTACCATAACTCGGTATCTGAACCATACTCACATGCATGTCTCGCCAGTTGGTGTGAACTGGGAAATTGTTTCTGAAAAATACATTGACGTTTTGGGTGCACTGCTTTGTCTATTGACTTACAAACCTTGCGACCATGAAAACATGTTTTCAATAATTTTAATTGCCGCCAAAGTTATAATTTTTATAAAACAGTCATCATTGTATCTCGAAATAGAGGGTAAGATATTTTTAAATATCACATCCCAGCTTGGTTTATCAAAATATGGAAAGCACACGTTTGTAAAACACTGATAGGACTTCTACATCTAGAAATACTTGGTGACGTAAATATTATATACAAGTGATGTAAAACATGAACGGTGCTGATAGTGACGACAACACAGGGAATGGTGACGTTTCACGGCGAATTTGTTCTTGTAAGAGTTGTCGCCTCATCAATCTGAAACAAATAATTTAGGTTTATATGGCATTGAAAATAGGCTGAAAGAAAATAGACAAGATGGGCAATTCAATTGATGGCTTTAAAAACTGGTTGATTGCCTTTAACTGAATGTGGTAACCAATTGCCAAGTTTATTCAAGTCCGGATTTCATTAATCAGATTCGGAGTTAAAAACTGCAGGAAAACAAAACAGACTAGACCCCGGATCTGGAAATAATTACTATTCGGTTTGGCGGAAATCAAACAGATTCGTTGATAGTTTTAACCATAGTATTAAACTCGTCCTAAACACAAGTTTCTGCCCTGGACCTAAGCTGCTTTTCACATGACCAAGGGTTTGCCAGTATCCGTAAACACCCGACCCGACTCCACCCACCGACTACGTAAAGAGATAGGAAGTACTGATAATTAAAATAAGCCACTGGCACAATCTTACCTCTTCTGATTCTTCGCATTCTGAATCACCAAAACCCGAGATTCCTTCTCCATCATCACCTTCCAGCCTCTCGCTACAAGGTTTACTAGCCTGTAGCTGTATAACAGCTGTCAGAACTACAAGAATACAATGAACGTCTCTTAAACATTACTTATTCGTAGATGAATAGAGAAGGACAAATTACAAAATTAATTCGCTAAATTTTGTATCTCGAAAAACCCAATAAGTGACTTAACCCCCTAATTAATGCTTTTTGGTGGCATTTAACTCCAAAACTCGGCGCTCCCACAATCCCCATTAATAGTGATTTAATTTATTTCCAAATTTTGCGCCCCTCCCGGTCCTCTTTAGAAATCCAGTATAGGCCACGGGTTATATTCCCATAAACACAGTGGTCATTGATGGAGTGAATTTAATCCTTCTGAAGCAATTGACCCAAGCTGAATCCCAACATTTCATATTACTGACCCCACCCCCTGTTCTTTTACAGATTCTTATGCAAATTGCTCGATTTATCAGCTTTGAATGTAATGGATGTAATATTTACCAGGGCTTTCTGTTTTTGTTTCGCATTCTAGACATTTTCTCACTTCTAAATGTTTTCCTATTAAAAGTAAAAAAAACAAAAAACAGTTGTTACTTGTGGTCGAACTATAGTTCATGCTAAAGCGTCACAGGTACCGTATTTCAGAAGCAGGTATGGCGAGCATTATAAAGTGGCAGAATAAATACAAAAAGCCTGCATGGTTCTGTCCCATATACACCGTATTACTAATGCGATTATTAGACATAGGATTTTCAAAGGATATCTCATATCTTATGTGAGATGAAAGTTAAAATATTTGAAAAGAAAAATCCGAAAGCCAGACCGGCGTCCATGAGTTACCGCAATGCATGTTTTCATTTTGGGTTTCCACGGTGAATAGATCTATCATTTCTGGATACATTAACGGGTGTTTGTCAGGTCTGGTGAGTAATGATGGTCAAAGCTTACCTTCGCAGTCCAATCCACCGTGCTGTGGTTTTGGACATTCACATTCTCTCTCTCTAGCCTGGAGGGCATCGTCAGAATCACATGGTCCTGAACAAACGGACCAATCATTCCATTTACACCAACTTCCATTCACTGTAATATTATAAAATAAGGAATCAAGGTTTATTGCAACATAGGTATTCCACTTCGCATTCGAATATTCAAAATCAACGACTCTAAACAACACACTATAGATGAAGGTTCGTTTTAGCTCAATGTTCCCCAACCCGGGACCCATCCGTGCGGCCCGTTACCGTGTCATTAAAAGGTTCTGGCACCAGGACTGAAAAGTTTAGAGACGCCTAAATTGTCAGGCCATACCACGGACCGTTCAAGCCTTTCTTTTGTTTTTTACTATTCAAAGTGTATAAAGTAATGTAAACAGAGATGTTGGTTTCGGAGATGAAGGCCCCCATTCCCGGTGTTGACCGAGAATGTTCCTCGGATTTTTGCACTTTGTAAGTGGGGCATAAAAATCCATGAGCGATTAAAGCCACTTCTCATTTTAGAGGGTTACATAGTTGATAGTTCTTACCTGGATTTTTGCACTTTGTAAGTGGGGCATAAAAATCCATGAGCGATTAAAGCCACTTCTCATTTTAGAGGGTTACATAGTTGATAGTTCTTACCTGGATTTTTGCACTTTGTAAGTGGGGCATAAAAATCCATGAGCGATTAAAGCCACTTCTCATTTTAGAGGGTTACATAGTTGATAGTTCTTACCTGGATTTTTGCACTTTGTAAGTGGGGCATAAAAATCCTTGAGCGATTAAAGCCACTTCTCATTTTAGAGGGTTACATAGTTGATAGTTCTTACCTGGACAGTGTTGCCCATTAAAGCATTCGATTCTGTCGAAGGCGGTTCCATCACACGGTATTCCACCGTGTTGTGGTCTGGGGTTATCACAGCTTCTAGAACGTAGTTGGTAACCCTTCTCACATTTTGCTGCTCGACAATATCCATAGTTTGTCCACGGTGACCATTCGCCATCAACTGTATCAGATTAAAAAAAAACATATTGATAATCTGGTTTCAAGGCGTAGCACCATCTTACAGCGGGTTCTAGCACGGATCCAAAGATAGGTCTTAAATGTGAGAATTTGTTTAGTTATATCTTTGACTGTGTAGCTTAGTGTTCCTCGGGCATCTTTCGTGTAACTTCGCATATGAAAAGTACAACGGGGCTAACGGGTTTACTACCGGGCTACCCCAATTTGGCGTTGGTATTTAAACCTTTTTGGCATTCTTTGCCAGTAATGTGAGGAATTAATATGTGTGTTCCCCATGAAAACCATTACAATGGTGTAACAGATGTTGGGTGTCTATATTTATTTGGTGAGAGAGAGAAATGGGGTTTAACGTCCACTCGACACAAACTAGGTCATTTCAGGACTAACATATGATTCAGTTTTATTTCAATAATTCGCTTGCGCGTATAGGGTTCTTTAGCAGTGGGAAGAAACCGGAGGACCCGGAGAAAACCCACGAGGTTGGACAGGCGACCCTACTCCTTGTCACGTACAACCGGGGATTCGAAACCACGCCAGTTGACTCAATGACAGGTCGTATGATACAGCACGCACGTGCTAACCATTCGGCCATCCAACCCCCCTATTTATTTGGTATTTGACTAATTACAAAACCCTTAGCTTTGAAAAGAGATAAATCTGGAGTGCTGGTTTTTAACTTTACCGTGAAGCATCGTTTCGTTTACTGATTACTAAACGTCTCAAAACTGAGATAATTTTATACTAATATGACTAATTAACATACCCAGTCCAGTTTAACGACGAAACCTTTGCATAACTACAAACATTGCGTCAGACACTAATTTTCATAACATTTGTTAGCGCTGTCTGAATAGAGTGCTATATTGGCTGTTGTCACAACAGTTGATTTAGCTCGCGTTGGCGTCGCATCTGCGACCTTCGAAAGATAACGACCACCGATTCCGCGTCAGAAAGCATCTGCATCGGATTGATTCACATTAGCTATTGCCAAACAAAACTGTGTAAACCTTTTCGTCCTGTGTTATATTAAACATTCTACAAAACCCTGATTCTGTATCTACAAGAACAGTTTGTGATTCACTAACCTGGACAAGCCCGCTCAACTCTGCACTCTTTAAGTTCTTCAGATTCGCCTTCGCATTCAGCACCACCATATAAGGCTGGAGGACTGTCACATGTTCTTGTCCTCGACCGATATCCACTGCCACATGTAACTTTACACGGTCCCCAGGTTGACCACAACGACCAACCTCCATTCTCTACAAATGCAAAATTCTTGTTACTATACTAAGGTATTTTTGAGATAAGAGATCAAAATGGTACAATATTTAAAACCTACACATCTTAACGGTTGATATTATCAATAGCGTCATTGTTTATAAATTCTACTACCTGTATACCCATACAGAGAGTAGTTCTATACTGACTAAAATGCTCATTTGGCTTATGTAAATTTGCTCAGTCTATAAATTGTTGCAAACTACACCAGTCTGATTAAAACACAGATCCTATTTCGTTTCGTTTTTATAGTTCAAAATTTCGTTTTACTTGTCTTTACTGCATGTAATGTAGGCCATCTAAAGTATAAAAATCGAAGCGAAATATAAATCTGTATTTTAATTAGATTGCAAACTACACTTACGTGGACATTTAGCTATTTCACATTTTTTATTGACTACACTCTGACCAGAGCATTGTCGACCACCTCCAGCAGGTGCTGGGTTATCACATCTTCTCGTCTTTCTCATCATACCCTGACCACATGTCTCACTACACGGTGAGAATTCAGACCAGTCACCCCATTTACCATTAACTGTAAAATGAAAAGGCAGATATATATTAAAAGTGGTATTAGTTCAGCGAATATAGTAAGGCGGAATGAACACTGGGCACTGTTATAAATAGATGATTGCAAATCTCTTGCAATTGATAATGTAACATCAATACGTGTGGATGATGTTTTCACATCGCCTAAACGCACCACAGATCAATCGAATTCGACAGAAAGGGGATGTTGAATTTCCCGATTTTATTATGCAAACGTTGGGTATAAAATCTTGCTTTTACGAACTCTTTTCACGGTTGACACATGTGGATCTAAATTCAAGGGATGTTTTGGATATCATCACAATGTCCTCCCGGAGCATGTCGATCGTTTTCAGACGACAGGGCCCAATAGAGACCAGCGAAGGCCTGGATGGAAACGCGCGACAACTACTTGACAAGACTGGCACATTATCCGGCAATATCTGCAGGATAGCACGCTGTCAGCTTTCCGTACTGCTGCAAGTGAGAGTCGCTCACATAGGTTCATCAATGTTCGTGTCGGCATTGGGTTGGACCAATTCTGACTCAACGCCGTTACTGACTTTTGATTATTACCCTTGGTGCCTACGTTTCTTCACTATAAATGAAATAAAATGGGGTTTAACGTCCTACTGGTTCCACTATAAAGTTGTTATGGCCTCCATGACCTGTTGCTGATTTTCTGTCAAATTTCCCATTTCAGCTGCATCGTGTCTCGCCAGTACTTCCAGAGAAACGGTTTTCATTGCGTATCAGTATACTAACATATTAAATAAAGTATGTTATAGTTTCTTTTGTCTCAATCAAACATGTATTAAGTCATTACTTCTAGTTGAATGCTTCAACCGTGATTCTACAGTGCTTTGAAACTTCTACAAACCCCCGTTTTTTTGCTGCCTGTGTAAGGAGCACAGCCCTGTTGATTACGGTTAAAATACAAAGTTGGGGTGTGAGTGTGAGTTAGTTGTATGTTACGTCCGCTTCCATAGAGGTGATATCGCAGACAAGAAGTTGTTGGGGTGGATTGGTCAACGGTCAAATATCCGAGATCTAGTATATATTCAAAATAATATAGTTAGGAAAGCAACTTTACCTGGACAGACTTTTCTGTTACATTCATTATTTTCTTCTGCCAGTCCTTCACAGTTTTTACCATTATATGCGGGTGGTGGGTAGTTACATTTCCGCTGACGTAATCTTGTTCCGCCACCACATGATGCTGAACATGGATGCCATGGAAACCAAGGACCCCAGTTACCATCAACTATTGTAAAATAAAAATGAATATTATTATCTGTTCTTTTATTTCAACTAAGTTTTATCTATAGATTCACACTTCTCTTTGAATTATTGTTTATCTATAACTCAGGTTAATTGGTTTCCCATTAATAGTTTTAATACATTGATCTTTATAAATAATAGGAAATCCCCCCCCCCTCTTTTAATCCCTGTAATAGTAACCTTCTGATATTTATTATTTTAGATGTCCACTAAGTCGTGTTGTTTTAGTTGTTAACAAGATCCTGGTATTTATGAAAGATTTTTTCACATGGACCCTGTATGCTGTTACTAAATTTTATGCTTGTGTCATAAAGAAATTATTTATTACGTTGATGCCAAATGATCAGGCACGATCTGAACTTGATTGAACATTTGACAGTCTACATCGTTTACCGGATATTTAACCACAATACGGCAATATTACCCACTGTGTGGTTCGAATACATATGAATAATTAGCTGAGAAGATCAATCGGAAAGATCTTAGCGTTATCCAGTTTATCCAAACACATCAATCTGATTAAAATACAGATCTATATTTCGTTTCGTTTTTATATTTTCGATGGCCTACAATACATGAAGATCTGACAAGTTGTACTCGAAGGTCGTGTCAGGGGTCGTACGGGCGGCTTTTGACCCTATGACGCCAGACATTGATTAACCAATCAGCGTGGTTGACGTTTCTAGTGGTCTACCCACAGTTCCGTGCATGTCACGCCAAGAAGTCGGCGTAACAAACGGTTTCATTGGCTTATCCCTCACTTCAACCAAAACGCCGGTACAACTCTTCTAGATTCTAGTGTAGTAAAGACAAGTAAAACGAAATTTTGAACTATAATAGGATCTGTGTTTTAATCCCATTGCAAACACATAAGACTGACAGAACACTTGAATCTGGTTAATCACAAACTAGAATAAAGTAGCTATGTTGAAAGGGTGGTCCTACATTATCCAGTATTGTGAATGGTGTTTCATGAAACTAAATATTCCAATCATCGGTTATCCAGCCACTAATACTTATACTCATCGACTTACCTGGACAATAGAAGTTAACCATACATGGCCGAGACTGAACATTCTCATAATCATTTCTATCACAATTATCACACACTTTATATCTAGATCTCCAACCAGCACCACATGACGCGCTACAAGGACTCCATGTTCCCCATTGTACTTTTGGTCTATCTGTTGTTGTAGGTAATTGAGATAGTATATCTATGAAGATAAAAGAAGGAATGGAATGTGGTTTACTTTGCGATATACATATGGCGAGGAAGTTTGCGTAGGCCAATGTGTACACATGTGGATCGGAGGTTTAACGTTTCATCCAAACGACTAGACACAAGTCACTTGTAAACCTACAGATTGCAAAAAAACAACATTTTTGAATACAGAATTTTAAAACCCCAATTTGTTAAAATAGATGGCGGTTTTATACAAGGAGGTGGGGCAGTCAGTAGCCACCATTCTCCTAAGATAAAGAAGGGTTAGTATCCGAAAGGGCAGCTTGTAACCGGGTTTAAATCCTTAAACTTCTAAATAAAGTGGGGGGGGGGGGAGGAGTAGATGGTCTTTGCGATCATATTGTTTCTTTAACTAATTATTGGGTTCACATACACACATGTATAGATGTCCTGTCTCATATGCACTAAAACAATGAGTGACAGGTTGACACACAAAAAGAGTTATAAAACCAAAACATAGCTGGTTCTATGTGTCAACAAAATATCACCAGATTACACGTGATCGGAAAATTACGATTGCATCATTTGGCTTAAGTAACCAATCAAATCAGTAATTGCACAGATGATTCAGGGTCATGAATAGCCTGATCTGTGCGTGATGTCCATATGAGTCCTATAAAAGTGACCCTGCAAGCCCTTAAAGATCAGATATCATTAGGTTCCGGAGATCAGATATCATTGGGTTCCGTAGAGATTACCACCTGAGTTCCTAGACAGCTGCTGGATTTCAGAGGGAGAAGATGTAGCAATTTCTATCAGCTGGGGCGAGTCTGGGTGGAATGGGATTTGGAGAATGACTTTATTGTAAACCAGTGCTTGATATATAAAATTTAAAAACGAACTGGTGCACGGTTATTCCTGGTAAGACAAGCGTATTAATTACTGAGAAGATAACCGTCCTAGCGGCGGAGATAGTAAGAGGAAAATACACAACGCGAAAAGGAAGCCAAAGACGACAATTGAAAATACTAGACGACAACAAGGCTATTAAGATATGTATAAGAAAAGAGTGGCTTTTGTCATACGTAGAATGAAGCGACCGGATTTGTTCGGTCCGCTTTCCACGTCTGACAAACGATCCATGGTGCTACAACATTCGTGAGTTAATTACCCCCTTACCTTTCTTTCGCGCCATTTTAGGTGGTTTGTTACCAAATGGATTCTTATTTAAATCTGAACAAGGTGTACATCTAAAACGATTTTTACCAATTTTATGCTGAAACACAAAGGTTAATAGAAAAAGATAAGATATTTTATGGTATTAAAATGCCTACACGAAACAGCAAACAGCACATGAAAGCAGTAAACAATACAAAAAACAAATACATAAATGTGATATATTATTTTGTTCTCTCCATTTAAGCTGTACGCATTATTTCTTGTGTAGAGACGTTTTCGATTAGCTTGATAATACGTAACCTTATAGATAAATGGAAATCGACAGATCCGGTTAATATTGATAAATGTATGTGTGCACCCATCTGAACTATAGTTAAACGTTAATTCTTAGAGATGTTTCTATTCCATTTAACACTTTAAAGGAGCTAAGTCTCTAACCCAATATCATCCACAGTCGTCGACATTGCAAACACGGCTTATTTGTCAATTTAAATCAACAGTGAAAATTTTAAAATTGGCACACGAATCGCGTGTCAGAATGCTTTCGGGCGCCATTTGTAATGAAGCCACTCAGTGAACGAGGCTAAAGATATTCCATAGGAGAATACTGCCGGTGTAGACTGGAATAAACATACGCCGAAGACTGACATTCAGTTCGGACTCTTCGCATATTTCGCCGAACATAACTGATTAGAAATTACTGTAAAAGCCATTGAATATAAATCAGTACATTCATATTACATTATTATATGCGTTACGAACCATTTGTGTCCATTTCTAGGTATCAAAGAATAGCGATTTAGCTCCTTTAAGCAACAAGAATTGATGATAAATAAGACTAGTTTTGAAATCTTGCTAATTCTAATGGACCAAATATCACTTGAAGTTGGCCTATCGATCTCATGCCAACCACCGTCTTTATCTTTTAAAACAGATCCCGGAGATTTAACATTTCAAACGTATATTGATTTTTATAAATGTTTTTCTTAGAATGACATTTTCCTAAACTTCCGCCTGGCAGGCTATAGTGTAAGGGGTATTTATACACTCTCTGTGGGATATAGCTTCTTACATGCAGTCGCTTAGGGTAGTCGCTTAGGGTATATTTTCAAACGTATCGGTTTAATGTCGTGAGCTTGAATTGGTAGTCATCTATCTTACATGAGATGCAAATCTCTAAAGACAATAGATTGATGATACAATAGAATTTCGAACTAAAACTGAAAACAATAATACCCCTATGGATATTTTATGAATATTTATTTGATGAACACACAGTTAACAAAGGGAACCATAGAAACAAAGAACTTCTACCAGAGAGAAGGAAATGGGGTAGTAGTAGTCGCGATAAAGTGTTATTATGAAAATATGTAAAAGTCAACGATACAGAGACAGTGTATAATGTGGTTGTTTGGCCGAAAGACAAATTATGTAGCACAAACAACTGCGTAGCAAAAACACACATCTTATTCAAATCCGATCTTTATTTCGTTTCGGTTTTAAATTTGATTTGTCCACACTAATTCTGGATCTAACCACTTCTTTATTGTTTCTTAGTTCTGTTTGAAGCCCCCTGTGATTGGTTAGAATCATACTTGCCCAAGCCAACGCGTTTGTTTATTGTTCAAGATGTTGTTAGACCATATTGCAGTGCCAATGTAAACGGAGGTAACTGGACTGTAAAAATTTAATTATTCCAGATTCCCCAAGCCAGGGAAAATGTCTCGACTACCGGGGCATTAATATTGTTTATTTAAGTATTTTCACTTTACCTTTTGAATAGCGAATCCTAAACCTCGTTTTGAGCAGCAATCTTCACCATCTTCAAATGATACCTTTCTGATTATCCCAGCACATTTGTGGTTCTTCTTTAATTTACGAAAGCAAAGAACTTTACCTGTAATGAAATAGCCAAAATATTTATTTAAAAAGTACCAGGGTTTGCCGTGGTTCCACAATTGTTTGTCCCGTAAAACATGACCATCGGGAGATGAATTTATATCAGCTCCTGTTTGTTTTCAGATCCCACTATTATATGTTGTATCCTTATATGGTTGTTGTTGTTTATTACAAATGAAATGAAATGAAATGGCCTCCTAAACTGAGCTAATGAAGACGGGCATACGCCATACAGTGTGCTATGAGGGAAATTTTGCCCGGGCAGTGGCGCTACGGCCTACTCTTATATCGAATTCCAACTGCCAAGGGATCTTTTACGTTCACGCCAATATGTACACGGGACCTCGGTTTTTCGTCCCATCCGAACGACTAGACAGCTGTCCTTGCCAGGCCCTCCGTCCTCCGTCCTGCATCACTGACAAGGGGAAACCACGCCGGAAAATCTGGATGAACTTTCTCGGCCAATGCAGGGATCGAACACCCGACCTCCAGGCTAGCGAGTCAGCGTCTTACCCACTTAGCCACGTGATCCCCTGTTTATTACAAATTTAACGCCCAACACATAAGGCATGATATTATGGACAGGTTGATTTAATTAAGTTATTTACATATGGAGGAGTAATATATAGAAAATGGGTAAAAACACTAAAAATAAAAGGTTATTGTATTTCAAAAAGTCACTTTAAAACACAGTTTTAAATTCGCTGGCATGAGAAGAGAGGACGGGTCATCTTCTCACTTTTTCATAATGAAAACAAGTTAATACACAAGGTCCAGCTGTTTGATGCCATCGCTGCGGATTGAAAAAAAAACCGTGGGGAAAAATAATCCGCTTATGATAACAGTTATTAAATAAATAGTGTTAGACTAAAAAGTGACTTAAAGTAAAACAAAATTAACACAAAAATATTCAAAGCCATTTCAATCAAAAAAGGGACAACAAAAGACGTCAGTGATAGAAAATGTATCTTGATAAATACTTCAATAAGTTCCATAATTTATAGACATGGAATATTAATATTAAAGTCACAATGAGTCTATAGAATGCACAATAATGTTTCCCCATACTCAACCTTTAGTTATACTAATTGTTACCATATTAATTTAGTTTATGTATCGGTACCAGCAATATTTTCTAAGTGTGGACATTGCTGTAAACAAACATTATTTAATAATCTGAGTTTTCAACCTTTTTATTTGCGAAATTTTGAAGATTGCATGGTTCAATATGCTTGTAAACAGTCGTAATATAGTATGTTGTAAAGATATGGATATGGTTGATTTTAATAATTATACTGTACTACTACTTTATATTATAGGTAAAATATAAATAACGCCATCTTCGTTAGGGCTATGTCAAACCTCATGGGTTTTCTCCGGGTCCTCCGGTTTCCTCCCACTGCTAATAAAAATAAAATTGAACCATGTGTTGGTCCCGAAGTGACCTAGTTTGTGTCGAGTGGACGTTAAACCCATCTCTCTCTCTCTCTCTCTCTCTCTCTCTCTCTCTCGTTAGGGCTAATTAAGAAATGTATTTTGTAACCATAGATACACGTTCCTTTAATATGTAAATTCCAATTAATTCTTGGTAGACTAATTATGCAATAATCGATGTTCGATCAATTCATCAGTCCCCTGATTACTTGACTAGTAGACCCACGGGAATCGAAACATATATAATACATGGTATATGCAGAAAGTTCATGGATATTATGACATGAAATGGGGTTTAACTTACTATTCTATACTCCGACTGTGCTAATGAAGAGGGTCATGCGCCATACAGTGTGCTATAAGGGAAATTTTGCCTGGACAGCGGCGCTGCAGCCTACTCTTATATTGAATTCCAAACTGCCAAGTTTTCTTTTATGTGCACGCCAATTTGTACAGGGACCTCGGATTTTCGTTCCAACCGAACGACTATACGCTGTCCCTTGCCAGGCCCCCTCCATCCTGCACCACTGACAAGTTGGGGAACCACGCCGGAAAATCTCGATGAGTTTCTCGGTCAACACAGGGATAGATCACGGTAACCCCAGTTAGCGAGACAATGCCTTACTCACTGAGCCACCGTGGCTCCCATGGATATTATGCAATATTGAATTCTATTGAACAGAGAATCGGATATCAGCTGAATATAGACTACAGTATTATCTAACAGAAATGTAGAATAATAACAATGGAGCTAACGACTTCATTTGTCAATAACGGACGTGATATTATCTATGACCCCAATCGATACAGGGTTAATAATACATACCCTACAATCATACCCATTATTGTTTTATACATGTATATATGAAATTATATAACATTCTGTATATAATATGGATTTATTCAGATGGTGTTTCGGTCAGGGATGGACTGAGAAGGGACTTGTCGGTGTGGTAGGCTCGGGGGAAATGAAATGAAATGGGGTTTAACGTCCTACTGTTCTGCTCCTAAACGGCGGTCTGTCGTTTTCGATGAATTAGTAAGATTGCAACACGTTTAATTTGTGCATAAGAAACATCAGAATATACTCCAGAAACCACCATTTACATGTCGTTTTCAAAAAAGTTCTCGCCTCTGGGTTGTAATCTGCGTGGGGGAGTGGCCCAGTCCGTCCCTTGTTCCGGTAGCATGCCTAACTACCTAAAAATGTACTGAACTGTTGGCATTTTGGTATTTTCATCTAGTACTTCCCGTCAAACAGTTACGGAAATGTATAGTCCATATCGAAAGCCACGATGGCGTCATGGGTATGGCGTTGGCTGAACCCAACGATGGTATAGAAAGTTCATCGTGAGTTCACCAGACTAGCAGTCTAGTTCGTAGGACCGAGGCCCAGGCACGGAAAGGCGTTTAGCCTTTCGGGTGGGACGAAATACCGAGGTCCCGTGTGCAACATTTCCCTCATAGCACACTGCATCTTCGGTTAAAGATGCTTTTCATACACACAGTATCTTCGGTTAAAGATTCCTCTCATAGCGCACTGTATTTTCGGCTATAGATTCCCCTCATAGCACACTGTATTTTGGGTTAAAGATTCCCCTCATAGCACACTGTATTTTGGGTTAAAGATTCCCCTCATAGCACACTGTATTTTCGGCTATAGATTCCCCTCATAGCACACTGTATTTTCGGCTATAGATTCCACTCATAGCGCACTGTATTTTCGGCTATAGATTCCCCTCATAGCACACTGTATTTTCGGCTATAGATTCCCCTCATAGCACACTGTATTTTCGGCTATAGATTCCCCTCATAGCACACTGTATTTTCGGCTATAGATTCCCCTCATAGCGCACTGTATTTTCGGCTATAGATTCCCCTCATAGCACACTGTATTTTCGGTTAAAGATTCCCTTCATAGCACACTGTATCTTTGATAAAAGATTTCCCTCATAGCACACTGTATCTTCAGTAAAAGAATTCCCTAGAACACTGTATCTTCTGTAAAAGATTCCCCTCACAGCACACTGTATCTTAGGTTGAAGATGCCCCTCAAAGTACACTGTATCTTTGGTTAAAGATTTCCCTCGCAGTACACTCTATCTTCGGTTTCGTTTCTCCGATTAAAGTATAAAAGTAAGACGCTGTGACGGTTACAACGGCCGTCTAGAATGTCATGGTAACCTGCTGGTGGCCATCTCCAAAATTATAATTTTCATACTGTATGGGCAAAATTCGCAAGAAGCCCATTAAAAATAGATATGAGGTTTAGACTGATTAAAACGGCAAAGTCATGTCCATAAATGCCTTCTTGAGCAGTATAAGTAATGTCGCATGATTATAAAATTTTCTTAATCCGTCATGTCAATTTGGTTCTTATGGGGTTTCCTGATATGTACGTTACGTGTGTGTGTCGGTCTGTGGAGATTAGAAATGTCTAGAGTTCTGGTAATTATCCCGTCTCACTTCGGTACGAAATACTCCCTGAAGCACGTTGTTATTCATTGTTTCCCTGTATTCATGGACAGAAACATCGCTACAAGCACATATTCTATCAAACCATGTGTTTGAATTTAATGTTAAACTTTATTGGTCTATTACAAATTGCGTGTTCATCGTAAATCTATTTACTGCAACAATTACAAAAGGAGGCAGTGTTGGACTGCAGGGGATTTTTATAGAATCCTAATAATGTCTCCAATATTGCATGTACAGATTGTGTTAAAAGCCAAATAAACGGCTGAAAAACAAACGGGCTCATAATCCTTCTAGTAGTTTGGCTTTTGGATGATGCAACGATGGGGTTTAAATAAGAAATTGGGATGGCAGATTTCTAACGGTTCAGACAGAATTATATTGACCAAGGAGTTTTATAGCACTACACTATATCTCAATGTTCTCAGTGTGTCAATACAAGATGGCGTAGCTCAGAACATGAGATGTTTCAAGGGATCCTTCATTTAATTACCATGATCCTTCAATTGGTTTTCTATGATTTAAGTGGTCATTATCTTCATGTAGTCGATAGCCCTCTTTCCCGTGGATCCGTTCTTGCTATTTTTTCTACTTTTTTTGTGTGTATACACAAGTACAACAAAACTTATAACCGATATAATAACATACTCTGCCTCATTCACGATATCCACCGCTAAGTAGAACGATAGTTCGGACATGGCCGGTTACAGAAGCCGAACTGCACTGCAAAGATATCATAAGAAAGTCGGCTTATCAAAGAGAAGGAAGGCCAATCCTTCCTTTTGATTTCAATAACAATGGTCGTTATTGCCTGTGTATATTAACGCAGCACAATACGACCTGGTTTTTTCTTTATTTCAAGGCTGGCATAAACACACCTACTAGTCTCGAACATATCGATTCTATTGTTGATTTTACCAATGCCTATAGACGTTTTGACGTGGTATAACAATCATTTGAGAGATGAGTCTGTTGGATTGTGAGAGAATAAAATAAGATTGTTTACCCTCAATCAACGTGTTTTAATGACTTGTCGATATCATTTGATTAATAATTTATAAAACTAAGATTAATCTTTCGCCACAAATA